TCAAAAAATATACCCAAATTTTTCTTGATAAATCATTAATAAAACTCAGAATATACCTTTTGTTGCTACTAGATATTGACCGAATAGGTCCACATAAATCTGCATGAACAAGTTGTATGTTCTTTGATGCGATAAGCTCCTTTTTTTCATGGTATTTTGGTGTTGCTTTCTAGCCAAGCAGTGAGTGCACAGATCTTTGGGAGTTATGATTGATGGCAACCCATTCACCATTTGTTTAGAGACAAGCATTTTGAGACCATCATAACTCAAGTGTCCTAACCGATTATGCCACAATTGAGACTATTGCTCTAAATTCCCCTGAAGGTATATTACCTTTGTTAACCCCATGGTTGTTGAAAGAAAAAACATCCTGCTACCATTCATATTTACTTCCATGATTTGTCCTCGATCAGGATGAACAACAACACACTTGTTGTATTGAATTGTTATCATCCATCCCTTCTCTTGCAATTTTCTTATACTTAATAGATTACTTTTAAGTTCAGGAACATAAAACACATGTGAAAATACATGTCCTATACCATTTAGAATAATTCAGACGCTACCTTTCCCCATCACAACAATTCGTGTGTCATTTCCAAGTTTCACTTTGTGACAATAGGTCTCATCTAATTCTGAAAAAACAATCATTGTTACCACTCATGTGGTTACTGCATCCAGAGTCTAGAAACTAATTTGTTTTGTTTCCTTCATTTATGTCTGCAGAGGCCATTAATAAAAGCTCACCTTCTTCTTCCACTTTGTCCTTCTTTACTTCAGTATAGTTGACCTTTTTCTTCCACGTAGGACGTTCATATTGAAAGTGTCCAAGTTTATAACACTTAAAGCACTGTATCTCCGCTTTGTTGAATGGATGTCTTCTTCTACCTCTGCCTCTGGAAAACCTTCCTCTGCTTCTTCCTCTTCCCCTAGCTCTTCCACTTTTGTCATTTGTCACAACTTGCATGACTTGTTCTTCCTCAACAATGAGCACCATTTTCTGTTCATGGACGAGTAAGCTACTTTGGAGTTCATTAATGGTCATAGTATTCATATTATTGGATTCTTCGATGGACCAAACGACATAGTTAAATTTTGCAGTCATTGACCTCAAAATTTTTGTTGTTATGATGCTTTCTTTCATGTTTTCACCACATGCTTTCATCCTTTTGGAAACCTTCAATGTCCGACCAAAATAGGAGTTGACTGATTCACCTTCCTTCATATGCAATATCTCAAAATCTTTATGCAATGCTTGTAATTGTTCTCGTTTGACTTGTGTGGAGCCTTGGAACTTCTGCTGCATTGAAACCCCAAATGTTTTTGGTTGTTTCATCATTTAAGATTGTATCCAATATTTCTCTATCAATTGCTTGATATAAATAATTTTTTATCTTCAAATCCTTCAGCTTCTATTCCTCCTGTGACTTTAGTTTAACTTCATACGCATTTATTTTGTCAGAAAGATCTGCAATTCCATGTTCCACTAAGTGTCAATACTCCTTTGAACGTAAGAAGTTCTCCATCAACTTTGCCCAATGATCATAGTGCCCATCAAATTTGGGAATAACAGGTTATACGTACTTTCCAGAATCTACCATTACTCTGTCTCTGTGCTCGCAGGTTTCTCTTGACACTCACCCAATATTTGGTTTAAACCCCTCACTTTCAGTGTTTCTCTCTTTTAACTCTAGTTTTTTGTTCTGGCCCCTATAAGCTCTGATACTAAATATGAACTTTTAACAAGTAAGATAGATTTTGAAATTCTGTACTTGAAAATTGTTATTGATTGTAGCAACTGATTACACATTTAAAGCAAATGAAAAAAGCCTAAAAATTGCCCTATTACTCACGTAGGAAGTTATGGATAACAGACTAATATTTGAGTTAAAAAATAGCTTCACTCCATAAAATATAGGTAAGTTATTGACCTGGTTTATTCACGTTTTATAACCGCTAAACAAGAATTAAAAGCAATTAAAATAATTTACTGCTAACAATGTATGTCTCCACGACAAGACATCAAACAACTACATTATTCTTCCTCTATTTGTATTTAATGACATAGGAAAATTGTTCTAAATATTCCACCAACCTAGCATGTCTCTTAGCTATCAAAAGTTTCAATGAAGATGGGAAATAATTGGAGCAAGAGAGGTTGCAAGTAGGGAAGCAAAGAGAGTTTATAATGTAAGGGTTGGATGATTGGTATGACGAGAAAGATGAAACAATTTGATTTTAAAAGAAAAACAAATTCTCTAAAAAAACGGAGTTGCCAGTGGGCTTTCGAGTAAGCCCATATTTGATACTACACATATTTTGACCTAATTTATTATGGAAATTTAACATTTATGAGGGGAACGAAAGTTAATGATGGAAATCGAGGATAAGAGAATGTACATTCATTGAGATACATGTGACATTCTCTTAGGGAGCATTTTGTTAAGGGTAAAATTACAAATGTATCCAGAAATAGAAAGAAATGTTAAAAGACCATGTTGGTAATTAGAGATATCGATAAGTTTGAGAATCGATAATAATTAAAGGATAGAGATCACTAGAGGAAACATCATAGAAAATATTAGAAGGTAAAATAATATATATGTGTAATGAGTTCAAACATCGAGAGATTAAAAGAATAGAAGACATCTTGTGGTACATAATCGAAAGGAAACAAGATAATCGAGAGATATGCGGAGACCGTTATTATTCTACTATGACATACGCACAATAATAGGAGGGACATGACAACAACGTGGGTCAAGGAAAGAAAAGATAATTTTAAATAAGTAAATTGCTTGTAGATCTTTTTATGTAGTTATATTGTATTTTAATTTGTAATTTTTATTTTTTATTAGAGTAGTTTTATTTTGACGGTTGCATAAGGAAAATATAAATAGGAGGAAATAAATATAAGTAAGGGGTAATTGTCAAATTATACAAAAAAAACTTACATTCTAAAAAATACTATGAATACTCAACAAACATGTTCAATGAAATTTTTTATAAATAGTCACTTTTTTTTTTATCAATTTCTGTTTTATCCCTCATAATACGATAGATTTATTTTTTTATTATTTATTTTTCTTTTTATATTTAAAGTAAATTGTTAAAATAATAAAAGAACAATAAAAATAAAAATAAAAGTTGAATGTTAACAATCTATAATTATATTATGAGTTAAATATTGAATGATTAATATAGAACCCTATTCATTGCATAATTGTGGATGTATATTTAATTAAATCCAATAGCGTTTACACTAAAAACATTACCATATAAAAATCCAATATTATATTATTAGAATAGAAGGATCGGTAACTATTCGTGGCATGCTAGCTAAAAGAAAACTGGGTTATCGTAGTCCTAGTTTATAAAGAGAACTTTGTTATCAGAATATAAAGTTTACTAAACTAGACATGTACAAATAGTTAGAAATAACATTAATTGCCACTTATTCAACTCTTGCAGTTTTCATTTTTTTTTTTTTTATAGAACTATGGTAATTAATCAATTTTAATACCATGACTATAGATTAAGGAACACGCGAGACCTGTGTGAGACGATAAGACAACATTAACAACGCATCAATGATGTGTGTGAACATGAAAGTGGGAAAAACACACCCATAAGGCACCTTAACACCGTAACATGGTTTTCAGAGAGAACTACGAGGGCTCTTGCTTTCTAATCCCATCATTTTAGATGTATCCCGCATGATTTATAAAAAAAAATTATTTAGCCCTCAACTTTTATTTTTAATACAAGGTCGGGCCAGTTTCTTCTCTTCATTTCATTATTTTCCTCATTGCTTAGTTCTCGTCCTCCATTGGTGCACCTCAAATAGTTGTAACTACAAAGCTTTGTGGTGGTTAACATCAAGTAAGTGAAAATATTATTGAAGGTGATTGCGACATTCTACTAATTACATGATCTCAAAATATATTATCCGGATAAAGTAATTCAAAATTATCCATACAGTATATTTTAAACTTAACGAATTCCTTATTATGATTTGAAAAATCTAAATTACCATTATGGATATATCAATTTAGAAGAGAGTGAAATATTTTCATCAATTACGAATTGAAAATTGGAAACCTATTATACAAATAGGATAATCTTAAAAGATATTTTGGAATAAATAATCTAAAAATTGATTTTTTTTTTCAATGCCAATTACACAATCTAGTTATATTTTTAGATTATCCTCTAGATTTTCAATTTGCTCGATCCGTAGTTTAAGAAAATATTTCACTCCTCTATTCAAAATATATTTCCATATTATTTTTTTCAAAATTATTCTGGATTCATAATTGGAAATACCTAAAAAGTATTTATAATTAAGTCAAACAAGTGATGCTTATGTATTATCTACTCGTAATGACTAATAATATGAAGAGGTGTATTGAGGGAAAAAAAAAATCTCCCATGGATTAGGTATATAATATTTAAAAAATTATAAATGAAGGTAACACTCAATTCAAAAAATTTCATAGAATTAAATTAAACTAAATTCATGTTCTAAGAATACCAAGGAGACATACTTGACATCACAACCAATGAAAGTTTTGCCCAGCATACAAATGTTTAAATGAAAGCCCGTTAAGTTTTGTAGCTTGATATGTGTTTCATCAGTGGTTTGTTTTACCAAGTTTCCCATTCATCAAGCATACCAAGAATCTTGATAAGTGGAAGCAAACATAACATTCATTGTAAAATCAATTTGGGCCTTAATGATAGACAATATAACTAAATCTATCGACACAAAAAATTTTCTACGTCGCAATATTTACGCTCAGGGTACAGCAGCAACTACTAACCACAAAATTACTAGTTTTTCACAAATTGGAATCATCGGACATATCTTGCACATTAATATATACTACAAGGGAAATAAAACAAAATGTTGGAGAGAACCCCTCTTCATTAAGTACCTTGGTTTTCACCTATAAAATTATTACAATTTACAAACGTGAACATGCACTTGTCCAACAAGCTCAAATATTAATGGTTGCATCCCATAGCCTTAGAAGTCCATTGCGACCACCGCTGCATATTCTTTTCCTTTCCAAGTCTGAAGCAATACATCTTACCTGGATGTCATAATCAGACCAAAATCAATCTAGGAAAGGAACTAATAATAAATGAAGATAACAATAGGCATACAATAACATTCTCCAACCACCACCTTATCTGACAAACACTTAGCAAGTAACCAATGCCAAATAAATAATCAGTGATAATTTTCAGTGAGCCATAATTTAAAGAGTGAAAAGAGCTGTCACTACATGACAGAGTTTGATAATGATATATGCTTCGAATTATATGAACAAAAGGGTAATAAACTATATACCATAGCAACCGTTTTTTGTGGTGTTCTGTAAAGCTGCCAACCAGCCATCTTGGACCCAGGGCCAGAAAAACCACCAAGTCTTTCTTGAGGCCGATGAAAGAGTGACAAAGAATTATCAGCTGCTCCAATGCCTAACCAGTGCTCCCCAGCATTGACAGATAATATGGCAGCATTGTGAATTGTTACATTTTTTGCACACCGTATACCACCTCCTGCACACCCAATGCGTAAGTTAGCAGGAAATCTCAAAGCCTTCTGAATTTCTGGAAAATAATAGCATGGCATGACACCAACCCTGAAACATTCTACCATAACATATGCTTCTTATGCCTTTGCTATAAAAAGCATTTTCTTCAGACACCATATAGGTGGAGCAGAAATACAATGGTAGTATTATATAATGAGACATTTAGTTTAATGAACAACTGCAGAGCAAGCTATGCCAAGGAAAAACTCTTTGACACGGTGCTTCTTAGGAATTGCAACCATAAATTTTTTACCCAAATCAAACAGAAGTTCAATGTCAAGAAAGAAAATATATCACAACAATGAAGAGATTGTCATACCATCATCATTTTCCCAAAAACGTAGCAGGCCATCAGTGGACCCTGAAATGGAATTTAACATTTTAGTAAGAATTTTTAGATAAAAGCTCAGAAAAAAATGGAGATGACGCACCTGTAATGATTCCTCTGTCTAAAGAAGAATATTCAACACATAATATTGGCCCTGCATGGCAAGCTAAGACGGCATCACATGTTCCTCGGGAAACAGACCATATTCTTGCTGTCCAATCATCACTACCAGTGATCACAGTGTCACCAACCATTCTTACGGACCTGCATTTTTTTTGTATAGCATTTAACTTATAAATGTATACACTAGTAGAAGAATAGGAATGTATGATTTTCATACCGTATCCATTGCGTGTGTCCTGAAAGTTTATGCATCTGCCTACTGGCACGGATGTCCCATATGTTAGCAACCCTGTGGTGCAAGCAGCAGATCAAGCATTAGATAAACAATGTATGACAAATAATCGCTCTAGGAAAACTTGGTATTGAAAATTGCTTTTTTTTTTAAACATACACATCTCTTCCACCAGCAGCCAACACTCCCACATTGTCATCATATTCCATGCATAGAACAGCACTAGAGCAACGACCAACAGTTGCAACACATCTATCAGTTCTTACATCCCACATCTTCACAGTGCCATCATGGGATGCAGTTAACACCCGTTCACCTGAGAGCGTGCGCACACAGCTGACCTACATGAGTGGTTGGCAGTCTGAATTTAGTTTCAATAATCCATTTTGTATATATATATATATATATATATATCAATTTTACATCACACACTGTTTATAGTAGAATAAACTAAAGTATTTTTAAATAAAAGTACCGGTCCATCATGGCCTTTAAGCTCTTCTAGAAGTTGAGTTGTTTGCTTATCCCACACTAAAACAGACCAGTCATCAGATCCTGATACCACCTTCCCCCTATCTGAACTTATTGCCCGGATAGTTCTACATTTAAAGACACAGACAAGGTTGCACATTATTACTAAGTCAAAGAAGTTGACAAACCATACAGGAAATTTAACTAGTGAGAGAGAACCTAGTATGCCCTTTTAGAGTTGCCCTGAGTTCAGAACCACGAAGACTAGGATCCCAGATCTTAACCTGCAATTTGCACGTGCCCAGCAAATAAACTCTTTCCATCAGAAGGCAATGAAACAACTTGGCACAACGAAATTCCATATCATAAATATTGAAACTTACTGAGCAATCTGTGCTTCCACTAATAAAGAAACCAGCATCTTCACGGTCACCTACCAAATCCCACACTTCTCGTTTTGTAACACAATGGAGAGCAGTAACGGCACCGTTATGACCCCTAAGTATGCGTACATTGGTTTGAAGCTTTTTCTGGCCACCACTCAACATATCTTGTGTACGAGGAGTCCCATTCTCATTTGTAGGTAGAACTATTAAGCAGTAGAACCAAGGGGTTTTTGACAGTTCATTCAAGAATTATAACTCAATGATACTTGCAGTTCGTTGAAAAAACTAAGTACCTGAGTTGCCTCCGTCAGATGTCCATCTACGAACATGACTAAATGAGCTGGATCTAGTTGTTGGATTTCGAGTGAACATACTCTGTACCCAGCTTCTACCAACACCAGTTGCCTCAGTGGGTTGCTGGTTCTCATCTTTGGTGTCTTTAGAATGTGGGGATGGCAATGCATGTGCTAACACAGACTGTGCCTTCATTGAAGAGATTCCCCAGTATCCATTACGTAATTGCTGGATATGAGATAAGAACCCCCTGATTTTTATCTGAATCAATCACATGAGGAATTATTCATTATGTGAGCCCAAATTTTTAATCACATAAAAACTGTGACAAATATATAAACTAATACACAAACAAAGAAACATTCACAAGAGAGAGAACTCAGTTTGATTGTTATAGTGACTACTGACCATTAACTCTGGCTACACAACAAAAAAATCTACCACTCTGCAAGGGAAATAGGATGGGATGAAAGGAGGCAATAATGGAACATATAGACGTAGTTGGGTATTGTATTTCCGTTAACCAATATCAACATTCTGTACTTTTGATTATTAGATGCCTTCATTACTATTTTAAATTGGGAATTTGGGACTCATACTAGGGTTTCTTTTTTTAGCATTTTAGTTGCTTGGGAATCACCCTATAGATGTGTATGACTGGGTATTTATCCTTCTTAAAATCCACAGTAATCAAACTTGCTTAGATTGTTTTCCTACTACCTTTTTCCTTTGTCTACGAAGTCTTTATTGGAATTTAGCATCAATTGCATGAGTACCTCTTTTGGTCTTCGGTAACACTTCAAATTTGCATCTTCACTCAAATGCCTTATGTACCAAAATACTCATTCAATCATGAAGACAAATAGACTACGAAATCTCATGCTTCCACAGTTAACTTCTTTCACTATTTTTGGTGACTTCTAAAACTAACGTTATAGAAACACTAAACACACGCAACATTAAAATGGAAAACATAGTACTAGAATTCTTTTTATACTCTAGGAAAATGCTCTTTATGTTAACCAATAAAAGTCAATATTGATAGAAAATTGGACAAAATTGTCACATTCTTTCAGGAAAATAGAACATTTAAATAATAAAAAGGAACAGAATTCACTCAAATTGGGGAAGGGGGGAGGACGATTTCTTTGTGTTCATATCAAATATACAACAAGTAAGGTTATCGGTTTCTTTTCACAGAACACTACATGAGTAATGTCAAAAAACACTCAACCCACTTAAAAGCAATCGCAAGGGTGGTTTTTGTAAGATATGAAAGCAAACGGATAGCTTTTATCTATTCTGTATGCGTCAAAATAAGTCAATGTGATTTAGTTAAAAAGGTTTTTTCTGTGGTCTCATACCATGTATCCTGAAAAATTTGTCTCATTTTTTAGATCAAAAAGATTTAAAATTTCCTGAAGCCTGTTATCTGTATCTACTCCCTAAATCACTGGACATATCCAAAATTCTAATGTCTCGTGATTTTCATCATTTGGACTGTTTCAGACACCCAAATAGCATCAACTTACAAATTGCTTGGATCCAATGCTGTTTCTCTCTGCAATTGTTTCAATCATGTACCAAGCATCGTTATCAGGAAGTCCCAGCCCAGCCTTCATGCAGGCAAAAGAGGCTCAGTATTAAAAGCATAAAAGACTTAAATGAAATTACAAAAGGTAACAAGGAAATTCAAGCACATGAAAGCCAAAACAATACCATGTGTGATGTCAACACAACAAGCTGAGCTGTCACCAAAGATGCATAGTTGGCCGACCTGGCAAAAAAATGCAAATCCATAAACACCTTGCACAACATTAGTCTTGAAGCAGTCATGGATGTTATTGTAGTAAAATATCTTTGATATTATTAGGCTAAATAAACTTTAGTTTGTATCTTAAACAAATATTTCTTGACTTTCCTCTCTTTTTTTGCTTTTGAAGCATTGTTATGGTGCTAATACATTGTTCACATCTACATGACCAATGGCTGCACCAGGACGAGCAACTCCTCATCACCAGAAACCTTGAAAGATTGGGTCTCCAATATTGCACATGCCTCCATGATTTCCTCCATGGCATGTTGTCACATGAAGCAATCCTTGTAAGTTTTGGAGAATCCTCACTTTGCAAGTTGATTTTGAATTGAGTTAGACCTTATGCCCAAGTTCTAAGAGTTAAAGTGAAGCCTACAAAATTGTCCCTCAATGTATAGTCTTCTTCATCCTAACAATCTTTCCAATGTCTTCTATCACTAAAATCAATACAATGTGCAACACACAAGAGTCACAACAAATGTTGTATTTTGGCTTGAAACAACTTACCTAAGACCAATTTTCATAAAATAAAATTAGTACGATTAAACAAGTATTAGTTAGGAATAAAAGATCTTAAAATAAAATTACTTGGGAATGATTCTTAGTTTCTCACTAACCAATAGGTAATTACTCCCATTGTTGGTTACCACTTGAACAACCTTGTTCTGTCGAACCTCCTCAACAAAATTATCTGACACAGAATTTCTCTAATCTTCACATAAGAACATGCATCAACACATTTAACAAAATACAGTTAGATGGACAATTCACTCCAAAATTGATGAAGGTCCTTATTTTCTTACAAGTCCATGCATCTAACATAATTGAGCATCCATATTTTCTTGTTCAACCTCATGACTTTTCGTAGTTCGCATGTCTGAACTCCTACTCCTTTTTAATTAGAGCAACTGTACACTCATTATAGCTCAAAACCTTTAGCTGTGGGGCATAACTTCCAATACTGAAAAGTTCTTGCTCTTACTTCCTTGTCACAAGCATTCTTTTGTGCTTGTTTACCTCTTGGTCTCTCCTAATTTGATGGTTATGTTTTGGATTCTTGAACAACAGTAAATTATGAGGGCTTTCAACATTGTTTACTTTCGTGGTAAAACCAAAAAAGTCACATAATGTTGTACTTGATGATGTATGCCATTTTCAAAATCAAATATCCATAAGTTCTTCTACCTCTTCATTCTTGTTTTATCAAGCTTAATCAACTAGGCTTCCTTCTTAGTTTTCTTCATGCAGGCTTCTCTGAGTATTGTGAAAAGGTGTCTTGGTACAACTATTAACATCTCCCCTCAGTCCCATTGATGTCTTTTTTTTTATTGGCAACAAAAATCCTGAGTAACAACTTTCTTATTGTTGATGTCTCTTAGGTATACTGCCAAGGAATATGCAAGCTACAAGTAGGCTTGACCGATGCACAAGAAGACACTAATTGAGAAGGAGTGGTCATTCCTTGTAGTTGAGTGGAAGAAGCCATTGAGGTTTTAGTGTTGCTTGGAGTGGTTGTAAACAAAATAAAGAAGTGCTTGGCTGAGAAACTTAACGGAAAGACATGGATGCTGAAAAATTAAGCAAGTACGAGACATTGAGGACTGGTGGTAAAGAGTTGTATTAGTGGTGTGGGCGGCGACAACAAGGAAGAACATGATTGCAACCAGTGAAGGAGTACAAAACATAGGTGAATCAAGAGAATGAAAAAAGCAAGACAATAGAGAGGCTAGGACTTAGGCATGAAGAAGATAGTGAGATATGGTGAGTATATACGAATACAAATTATATTATTAGGGCCTTCGAGTTGACAAGTTTGCCCTCCAAAAATGCATGAAATGACACTGATTTCAAGTGTAAAAGGTTCTTTGACGCCTGACACTAATAGTGATTAAGAGTTAACAAATGCAAACAGCTGCAATTTTGGCAGCAGAAAAAGTCCTGACAGTCACACAACTTGACAGAGGAAACAAGAATGGGGGCAAGGCTCAGAAAGTGATGCAACAACAAGATAGCACTGCCACCGCTTATTAACAAATATGACTTATGTTTAGAGCTAACCTCTTCATGTAAGTATCATTTGTAAAAAGCTCATGTAAGGATCATTTGTTTTTTATGTCTCTAGTAAGCACACCCATGACTAAATTAAGGAAGTAATAACTCAAGAATGTGTCTTAATGCAATCCTATCCTTATAAGGAATCTTTTGTCTAGTCTCTCTAAGAGTTCTCATATTACAAAATAATCCTATCAGAAAAAGTATTATGAGGATAAAAGAAGATAACTATGAAGACAGAGAAGTTACCATAGGGTGGAGAATGGGGAATCTGTTTATAAAGAAAAACTGAAGAAAATCAAAGGAAAATTAAATCCAGAAAGAAAAAAAAATTCTTACTTGTTTGAAGATTGCTCCATTAAATAGTCAAAATATCCTTCCCAAAATCTGCGGGTGAAGTGCATGAACCAAGTTGAACACAAAAACTCCAGATAATGAAATCATGATGAAATAATACATGTAATACATACCGTAATTCCTCCCAAATAGGTAATGAGATAAGGTGACGCTGGCAATAGTCTGGCACATTATTAGTATCTTTCTTATACATATCAGAAGAAACTTCAAGAGCATCTCTAATGGTCAACAAGTCATTTCGTGATGTTGCCCGACCAATAGCTGTTTTAAGCTGAAATAAAAAAATTCAAAAAGAGAAAAGAAAATTAAGATTTTTTTTTCTCTAAACCAATACTTCTTTTACTCAATTAGAAGTTAAGGAAAAAAAAATATATATATATATATATATATATATATAGAGAGAGAGAGAGAGAGAGAGTTACTCCAAGAATACCTTTTAAGAGTTACTCCTCGTTCTAATCCTTCATTTTTTTTTTAATTTAACGGTTCTAAGGAGAAAAAATGAAGAGTAATTCTGTTAAAGTTACTCTTGGAGTTACTTGATCACTCTCCTAAGTAAGCCTTGCTAAACAAGCTTCTGTGGTGAGGATAGTTTCCCACTTAAACTCATTTTAGGTTTAAGGCAATCTAGCCCTTGGGTTTTTCCCAATAATATATATATAGTTTTGCTAGTATTTCTTGGCCACTGCGATTTAGGTTCAAATATATTTTTAGTTCCTTTAGGTCTCAATTGCAATAAATTTTCCTACAAATTTTAAATAAAAGTTTGATCCAATTGATAACAGCTCATCCTATTGAAAACAATAAATTAGAAATTGGAAGTGGCATTGTTATTGATAACTTTGTCCTAGTGAATGTGTTGGAGATATTGGACCTGTTTGGAGGAAACTTCTCCATAAACACTTTTTGGAGAGAAAAATAGGAAGAAAATATGAATTAGCTTCTACATAAGCTAAAATTAGCTTAGACATGAGTTAAAAAGCTAATTTTGGAGAAGCTAATAGGAATTAATTTCTACAAATTAGCTCATGCAGAAGTTAATTTGAACTAATGAAAACTGATTTTATTTTTTCCTTTTATTTTTCTCCCTAGAAGTGCTCATGGAGATGTTTTTCCAAATAAACCATTTGCTAGATATTAAAGATATTATTCATATTTCATTGTATCTCTTGATACTTTCGTAGTTTCCTTGGATAGCTCATTTTAATCCCCAAGCATTTAGGAATTGATTATGAAATTCATGTATATAAACATCGTACATATATCTGACAAACACATCCACAGTTATTAATTCTCTCAAATTGGTACCAAAATACTCTAGTTTACCTAATTCAGCTGCCATAGGAATTGAAAACCCAACCCTAGTTTTCACTGAACCACCAACACATGACTGACCAAATCAAGTAGTTCCGGAACATGTGCTTTCACACGCTTCCTTTTCAGCACTGATTGTGATTACTGCTAGTTTTGTTCAGTTCACCAGCTCCTTCAAGTTCTGTTTGAAAAACTTCTGCTAAGTTTGTTTCTCCACTGACATGCTTTTTCGGGGTTTTTTGCTGCTTCATTTGTTGTTCTAGATTGTCAAGTTGAATACAGCAATAATTTATTGTTTCTGGTTGTTAATGGTCATCTCTCATGGTAAAAACTCCCTAGCTTGATCCTAATTTAAAACCTTAAAAGAATGGTCTGATTTTTGCTTTCTTCTGACTCTCCCATGATCACCACTGAGATCTTAAATGATAAGGAAGAACTACTTGGGCTGGCACTGTGATGTTATAGTATGGTTCCTAGGTCTGACTAGGAAGGCTTCTAACATTCTTGTGGCCAAAATAGTGTTGTTGAAGTACATTGTTCTGATATTGAGTCACCGAACACTTTCCAATTGAGGATTTAGGTCATTTGCATTACTTCCTTTAGATAAAGGTAGTTTAGTCAAAGTCAAATATTGCTAATTTTTATTTACCAAATCATGTATGCACTCAATATTTTGGAAGTCTTAGAATTTGGGATTTGGGTCAAATTCACACCACAAAATCCACTGGTAAGATGAAGGTTTCCCCCAACATGATTACATTACATTGGTCTTATCTCTTTAGAATCTGGAACTTTTGTTTTACCCAATAGGAAGTGATTGAACTTTTAGACAGTAAGCCAATTGACACACCTATGGATCCAAATATGAAGTTATTGCTCAATTAGGTCCAGCAATATCCTTATCTAGATAGATATCAAAGACTAGTGGGAAAATTGAATTATCTATTACTTGAGAAACTTATTTAGGGTTCCAATACAATGTCTAAAGGCAATGTTACACTGTATTTATAGATAAAGGAGATACAACAGAGAGGATATAGGTCTCAACCTAAACCCTTAACCCTAGTCTAAGGAACATACACAGAGAATATAAAAAGATAGAAAAATAACATGTCTCAACACTCCCCCTCAAGCTGGAGCATATAGATTGTATGCACCAAGTTGGAACAAATGAACTGAATCATAGGACGTCTCAAGGATTTAGTTAAAATGTCCGTCAGTTGCTCAGTGGAGCTTACAAATTCAGTTACAAATTCCTTAGACACTAACTTTTCTCTAACAAAGTGACAATCAATCTCGATATGTTTTGTTCTTTCATGAAAGATTGGGTTTGAGGCAATATAGAGAGCTGCCTGATTATCACAAAACAACTTCATCTGCCCATTATCACAGAATATTAATTCTTGAAGAAGTTGTTTGATCCACACAAGTTCACATGTACCAAGTGTCATAGATCTATACTCAACTTCTGTACTAGATCGAGCAACAACACTTTGTTTTTTACTCTTCGAAGATATCAAATTCCCTCCAATAAAGATACAATACCCAGTAGTAGATCTTCTATCAATGGGACAACCAACCCAATCTACATCACAATAACCTAGAATTTGAGTATTACCCTTATCTTCATATAACAATCATTGTCCTGGGGGCCCCTTTAACATATCTCAGAATGTGAATCTAGGCATCACAATAATCAGTACAAGGATTTTGCATAAATTGGCTAACTACTCCAACTTCATAAGAAAGAACAGGTCGGGTGATAGTAAGATAAATGAGTTTACCAGCTAACATCCTGTATCTTTCTAGGTCTGACAACTTTTCTCCTTTATCTCCCATCAATTTCTTATTAGAGTCCATTGGGGTATCAATAGGTTTACAATTTGTTAAACCTCTCTCCTTCGGAATATCAAGAGGGCATACTTCCTTTAAGAAATTACTACACCTTCCTTTGATTGATCCACTTCAATACCAAGGAAATACTTCAATTGACCAAGATCTTTGGTTTGGAAGTGAGCAAATAGATGATTTTTTAATTGGCTGATCTTACTATAATCATTACCTGTAATAACAATATCATCAACATAAACTATAAGATACACACACTTGTCTGAAGAGGAATGACAATAAAACATTGAGTGATCTGCTTCATTCCTTTTCAAGTCAAACAACTATACAACATGATTGAATTTCCCAAACCAAGCTCGGGTTGATTGCTTCAAGCCATACTGTGTAAGGAATAACAGTTTTCTTGTGTGTGCCCCATCTTCTTGCAATAGAAACATTGAGGATGACCTTTTGTACTCCCACATCCTCCTCCTCGACCACGAGAAGCAACCATAGCTGAAGTTTCAATTGTCTCCACCTGATTCTCATCTGTCATAAGATTGGGAACTCGAATCAGCCTCATGACAAGATTATCCATTGACGGAACCTGATCACCAGCTAAGATTTGATCACATACATATCAAAATTAGAGTGTAAACTCCTCAAAATTAGGACCATATACAACTTATCCAGTTTGGAGTTTAATTCCTCTAAGGTATTTTCCAGAAGAAACCTTTGTAATTCCTCCACAACAACCCTAGCTTTTGCAATGTGAGACATCATGTCATGTTTTGTCTATTTGAGAGACGTCACTCTTTGAGTTGCATCAAAGAGACACTGAATATCATTAGCAAAAATATCTTGAGCCTTTTTCCAAAAAGAAGAGCAGGTTTTGAATGACCTGAGAAGTTCAAGAACCTCAGGTTCCACAAACTGTCATAAGATTGCACAAAGCTGGAAGTCTATTTTTTTCCACTAAGATCTATCTGAGGCAAAAAGAGAGTTCACATCTTTCTCCATATGGTCATGATACCCCTAACCTAAAAACCATAGTTCAACTGATGCAGACAAGATAGATAATTTTTCTAGTTGAGTTTGACATTGGTTATGGTGGGAGTAACAGAGAAAAAAAAAAAAACACTAACTGAAGCCATTTATCTGTAACAGAGATGAAAGATAAACTTAACCAATAGCATACCCACGTGACCTAGCTTCCAAAGTTCTCAAAACAAAAAAGTAAGGGCACCATTAGACTTGGAGGGCGCCGGCGAGTCGACTGGTGGTAATTGGCCTTGATTCCAGCCACTGGAGGACAACGCATGGGACACACGTGTTTGGGAGCTCCACCTGGAGAAGCTGCGCATGATGACGTGTGGGACTGCAGATGGAGGAGCGATTGGCGGGTGGGTTGTGCTCTTCGAGGCACACCAAACCCTACCTTCATCGGACCAAACTGAGGCGGCGACATGTGGCGAACGGTGGTCGGAGATGACAGGGATGACCGGAAATCAGTACGAGATCGTACCCACTCTGATACTAACTTGAGAAACTTATTTCGGGTTTCAATACAGTGTCTAAAGGTATTGTTACATTGTATTTATAGATAAAGGAGATACAACAAAGAGGATATAAACCTCAGCCCAAACCCTTAACCTTAGTCTAAGGAACTTACATAGATAATACAAAAAGATAGAAAAACAATGTGTCTCAACACTATTCATACTGAGACATGGTATATTCTTCCTAGTTAGCATCTTAAGCCATTTCTTTAAGTCTCTTTATGATACTCAATAACATCTAGTTGTTCATTGTTACATTCATTAAAGGGTCACCCAAGAAATAACTTAATATTGACAAAGGTCATACTAACATTATTGATTACTTGGTTGCAGATTGAACAAAAGTGAGTTGGATGTTAGTCTTATGGCTTAGCTTAACCCTGTTGGGTATTGCCAAGAATAGAAAAGCACATATTTGGCTGTTTCCTAAATCAGCGGAACAAATATTATAATTTATTGGACAACTAAAATTAAGGGAGTAATATCCCTGATTGTATATGGCAGTTTATTATTGTTTTCCGATTCTGTAACATAGAATATTTACTATCCCTAATTGGGATCGTGATTTATTGTACCCTAAAGGCTATTTATGCCATCTGTACCACACATTTCTAAATATGGAATAAATTACAAACCCCACAAAACTAACTTGTAAAATGAGGATTATGCTAGTTGCTGATTCAAAAGCTTTAAGCTAGAACATTTTATGTTTCCAACCACCAAGAGCTAAAGGGTTTTTTGATTTGATCTGTATTTTAAAGTTGTAATTTTAGCGTTTAATCTTATCTAAGTGCTTTTTTTGCCTTTGATTGTTAGAGATATACTTTTGTAATGTCTTTTCTTCTATTTTTTCTGTACAGCTGTTTGTTACAACTGCTCTACTACCTATTGTAGTATTCCTTTACTTATGAGTATATGGGTTTTATAAGAGGTTTACTCACTCTTTGTAATTCTCTTTTGTAATGGACACATTTAATATGGTATCTAGAGCTAGTTGATCCTCTTTTTTGGCTTATGCCAAATCTTTTTTATTCTATGGCTTTCATAGATCCTAATTCTTTTTGTCCTCCTCCTTCAATAGATTCTTGTCCTTCTTTTTCATTGCCTACACTTGTCACTTTCTCCATCAAATTACAGAGAACCTTGATGATAAAAATTTCTTGTTGTGGCGCCAGCAAGTTGAACCTGTGATTAAAGCCCATCGTTTGCTTCACTTTGAAGTTGCTCCTAAAATTCCATCCAGGTTTCTCACAGAACAAGATCGAGATGTTAATCATGTCAATCCAGAATATCTTTCTTGGGAACAGCAAGATCAAATGCTTCTTGCATGGCTCCAGGCTTCACTTTCTAGTACTATCTTGTCACACGTGCTTGGATGTATTCATTCATATGAAGTATGGGACAAGATACATGCATATTTTCTTCATCAAACCAGGACAAAGACAACACAATTGCGTTCTGAGTTAAGAAACTCATCTCTGGATAATCGTGCAGTTAGTGAATTTCTTTCTAATTTTAAGTCTCTTATTGACTCTCTTTATTTGGTTGCAGATCCTATTTCTTTAAAAGAACATTTGGATTCAACTCTTGAAGGTCTTCCTCAAGAACATGATTATGTTATTGCTCTTACTGAGGCAAACCTGATAATATGACTATTGAAGAAGTTGAAGGTTTAATTCTTACACAATAATTGCATTTACAAAAATATAAAAAGAATCAAATTCTGTTTTTTCTATTAATCTTGCTCAAGCACCAGCTCCATCTCCACCTTCTACTAATGTTCTTGGTAGCAATCAACTCCTTCTGCAAACATTCTTGACCAGCTGTTTCAGCATAACAATTCTGAACAAAATACACTGGTTTTCGTGGTGCTGGGCGTGGTCGTAGAGGCCACAGTGGTCTTAGTTCGATGCAGTGTCAAGTTTGCTTCAAATATAACCTGCTATTTTTTGCTACCACATGTTTAATTCTCAATTTCAACCATCTTTTATGCGTCTTTTCTCTGTCGCACCTTGGGAAAATCCATCCATTTGCAGGTCCTAGTTATTTTTTACATCACATTGGTTTCAACAGTCTCACAGTTCTTATGAATATACTCGTCCCCCTCAACCACAAGTTATGGTTACAAATACTGCACCATCTCCATCTCAAACATGGTTTCAAGATTCAGGTGCCTCATTTGGTATAACAAATTCCAGTCAAAATATACAACAAAGTACTCCTTAAGATGGACCTTATCAAATTTTTGTTGGCAATGGGCAAGGTCTTCCAATACTTTCCTCACATTTTCTTCTCCCTTTAATTCAAATATACATTTTACATTTAACTCTCAAAAATGTTTTGCATGTTCTTTCAATTACCATGAATTTAATTAGTGAGCAAGATTGCTCAAGATAATAATGTCTATTTTGAATTTTTTTTCCTAACCATTGCTTTGTTAAAATCTCAGAAATCCAATGAAATTCTTCTTGGTCGAGGTTGGACCTGATGGGCTGTATGAGTTCTTATGGCTTCACCTTATGCACAAATTTTTTCTGATTCTTCTTGCAATTCTTGTATTAATACTACTGTTTCTAATAATTGTACTACTAGGAGTGTATATACTTGGCATCTTAGGTTAGGACATCCTAATATCAATGTTCTACGTATTGCTCTACAAAATTGTAATATTTCCTTTTCTAATAGAAGTTATCTGCCCTTTTGTTCTGCTTGTTGTATGGGCAAAGCACATAAACTTTCATCTGAAGCTTACTCAACTATCTATAAATCTCCTTTTGAGTTGGTATATGGTGAATCATGAGGACCTTCCCCTATTCCTTATTCTAATGGTTTCTCCTATTACATTTCTTTTGTGGATGCTTACTCACGCTTCACTTGGATCTACCTGGTAAAACAAAAATCTGAAGCTCTTTCTGTTTTTCAGCAATTTAAATCTATGGTTGAATTACAATTTAACAAATCTATCAAAGTTGTTCAAACTGATTGGGGAGGAGAATTTCACCCCTTTACTACAGATCTCAAATCTTTAGGTATTACTTTGAATCATTTACCCTCATACCCATCATCAAAATGATATTGTTGAATGCAAGCATCGACATATTGTTGAAATTGATCTCACTTTACTTAGTCATGCATCTCTTCCTTTATCCTATTGGGACCATGCCTTTACTAATGTTGTTTATCTTATAAATAGATTGCCTAGTGCTCCTCTTAACTTTCATGTTCCTTATACTATTATATTCAAAACTGCACCTCATTATAACTTTCTTAAAGCTTTTGGATGTGCTTGTTTTCCTCTTAAGACCATACAACTCATATAAACTTGATTTTCACTTTTAAGAATGTGTCTTTCTTGGCTATTCCACATCACACAAAAGACACAAATATTTATCTTCCTTTGGAAGGTTATAGAATTCTAGAGATGTTTTATTTAATGAGCAAAAATTTCTTTTTCCTTCGTTGTTTCCATCATCTTCACCCAATAATCACGCACCACAAACTACTTTGGGTATTTCAACTTCTAATTCTCTTGTTTCAAACCTACCTTTGTCTTCAATATCTTCTACTGCATCTCCACATGTCACTACATCTAATTCCTCATCTACTGAATCTCCTTCCTTTTCCTCCACTTCTATTTTTGTACCAAACCCCATTATTCCTCACTGTCCTCTTAATACTCATCCTATGTAGACTCGCTCTAAGTCCAGTATTATTTGACCCAGAATTAATCCATCTCTCCTACTTGTCAATGTGGAACAAAAAAAATGTCAAATCAACATTACAAGATACAAAGTGGTTGTTGTTATGCAAGATGAATTTCTTGCCCTTCAAAAGAATAAAACCTAGTCTTTAGTTCCTCTTCCCCCTAATCGTCATGTTATTATGGATTTTTCGTGTTAAGGAAAATCCTAATGGGACTGTTCATAAATATAATGCTAGACTAATATGGTTTTGGTTTTACTGATACTTTTTCTCTGATTGTAAAACTTATCTCCATTTGCATTATTCTAACTCTTCTTACTTTCAAGTGGTCTTTGTTCCAACTAGATGGTAATAATGCCTTTCTTAATGGGTTTCTTGACGAAGTGGTTTACATGACTCAACTCCCAGGTTTTGCAGATAAAGATACTACTCTTGTTTGCCGACTTCACAAAGCTATTTATTGTCTCAAGCAAGCTCCTCAACCTTGGTTTAAGAGACTCAAAACTACCTTACTACAGTTTGGTTTTTGAGATAGCAAATGTACTCCATCCTTATTTATATATTCTCAAGAAAATTGTATTGTTTACTTGTTTACGTTGATGACATTATTATAACAGGAAATTCTACCTCTCTTATTCAACATCTTATTTTCTTGGCATTAAAGTTCGTCCACAGTCCAATGGCAATCTTAGTATGACACAAAATATATAAAGGATCTTTTCGTCAAGACACAAATGCTTGAAGCAAAGTCTATATCTTCTCCTATGAGTTCTGTTTCTAAACTCTCAATATGGTGCTGATTTTTTCCCTAGCCCATTCTTCTTGTTGCTGCTCTTCAGTATGTAACTTTGATTTAAAATCACATTTTAATCAATTAATTTCACTTAAAAGTCATTTAAAATTTTACATGCTCTCACATTTAATCAATTGAAAAGAGATTTAATCAATTAAAATCACTTACATGCAACGTTGTGATTTTAATGGATTAAAAACTAGAATTAGTCCATTAAAATGTTTTTATCTAATTTGAGGAGCATTTCAACCAATTAAAGTAAGAGCTATCTTAAACTATTTTCACTGATTCAATTTGAGAAATTTTCAAAAGTTTTTCAAATATCAAAGGACAACTCTAGCTGTGAAAAACATATTTTCTTGATTTCTTTACAAGCTTGAAGATCATTGGTCAAAAGAATCTCAGAGAAGATCACCTTTAAGTCTTTTCATTCTCTTCAAGAGTTGACCAAAAGATTTTGTTCGTTTTACTATTTCTCTTAGGTGTGTAAGTCCTTGGCTAGGGTGGTCATGGAGTTTATTGTGATAGGGTTTTATAAGAGTTGTCCAAATGATTTATTTAGAAAGTTTCTTGTGTAGTGTGCATGATTTTGTTCTAGTTTTCTAGTGAGAATCTTGTAAAATTTTGAAAATATAATGGATTGGTGTAATCAAGGTGATTAGACAACTAGATATACCTCTCTTGTGACAATGAACTAGTATAAACTCTTGGTGTTACTGCATATACATATTAAAATCTTAATTGAAATTAATTTTTATTAAAATGGAAAGTTAAAGAACATTATCTTGGCATTTCTTTGAACTTTATCCAGATTCTTGAGTCCTCTATCATTTATTCAAGGTTTGAAGTTCATTTCACCGCCTCTAGAACTCAATCCTTGTTTCCAACACTAGGTTTGTAAACTCTAATTAAGTCATCTCTAGTCGATGAGTGAGTAAACCATCACCCTTGACGTTGCAACCAATGAAGGTTAGGTGTGATCACAATTAAGAGCACTTTCCAACAACAATCTCACGACCAAGACTATTGCCTTGGAGAGTGGCAAATGTAGGTGGGTCAAAATTAGATCTAGGATAGGCTTAATTGAGTGTGGGACAAAGAACATACCATACCTTACCCACCACCAATACCATACGGTGAAAGTGCTTTGGTCACTCTTAACTTGCCACGGAAACAAACGCATCCATTATGTTAGGAACCAAGAATTAAACAGAAGAAGAAAAGAATGTTTCTTTATTGAATAGAATGAAAAGAACTAGAAATAGGAGAAAACTCTCCTCCAAGGGATTCCCCTTCACCAAGGATTTCTCCTTTTACAAAGAGCTAATGCTCAATTTACAAAAAATATGAACTCCCTTCTCCTATCCTTCACACCCTATTTATATCTAAACAACACCTTATGCAACTAACTAACTCATTAAAATGCTAACTATCTTACTAACTTCTCCTTCCCCTTATACCCTAACAATACACCCCGCCTAAAAATCAACCTTTTCCTCAAGGATGTATGGTAGAAACTTGATCTCATTGCTCATCCTCATTATCATGATCTTCATTTACCCTTCCTGTTTGCATGTGATGTCTTTTTTTTTGGTATAGGAATGAGAACTGTTGAAAGTTCCACATCGCCTACCTCATGTCATTTGGTATGGTTTAAATACATGTTAGGCTACTCCACATATTGCCAATTGGTTTTATGTTGGAACCTTAACATGGTATCAGAGCCAAAAGCCTAACATCTTTCCGGTTATTGTCATGGGCCAAAAGTTGCCCTTTAGTTGGGTCAAAAGTACCCTTTGCCTGGTCCGGCGGGCTTCGTTGGAGGGGGTGTGTTGAAAGTCCCACATCGTCTACCTCATATCATTTGGTATGGTTTAAATACATGTTAGGCTACTCCACATATTGCCAATTGGTTTTATGTTGGAACCTTAACATGGTATCAGAGCCAAAGCCTAACATCTTTCCGGTTATTGTCATGGGCCAAAAGTTGTCCTTTAGTTGGGTCAAAAGTACCCTTTGCCTGGTCCGGCAGGCTTCGTTGGAGGGGGTGTGTTGAAAGTTCCACATCGCCTACCTCATGTCATTTGGTATGGTTTAAATACATGTTAGGCTACTCCACATATTGCCAATTGGTTTTATGTTGGAACCTTAACAAGAACCAGTGGCTAATGCATTCAAATTCAAATCAGGTGACTTGGGTGGTGGTGGAAATGAGAGTGGATTTTGTATAACAGCCGTCAGACCTTCCTTCTACATTGACTCCATTGGCAAGTTGTGATCCAGAGAAGCAATGAAATTTAATGTTAAAGGATCACCAAGAAAATTAAAATTCCCAAATTCTAATGTCATTGTTGTTCCAACCACCTTCACTATCAAATTTGGGTCCAACAATGATTCCTGATTCTTAATATGGAAATCCATCATCTTCATTGTTTTTATTGATGACATAATATTTACTTCTCTTAAATTCTCTTCATTTTTGGTTTCTTCTCCACTATCAAGGGTGTGATACTTGATTGCTCAGTCTTCTTCTTTACTTCTATTTTCTGATTTCAAGAATAGAAAATGATCATCATCACTCTCAAAACTGCCACTCTTTGAATCAGATTCACCTTCTATGCTTCCAGCAAATATGGGTAGTTCCATCTTTCTTGTCCAAGAACTAAGCTCTGCTGCAATGCATTTTGACCCGCTTCCCTCCATGATATTTTTTCCTTGCTCAACCAGATGTGGATCACTCTCTCCAAACATTTTTAAGAACACTGTGGAAGTCTCCATTATTTTGCTGCATGTTTTAATCTCAGTTTGCTCTTCTTGCTTCATGATAGTCAATCTTTCAAAGATGTGGCTGTCATAGATATCTTTGAATCTTTTTATCAAAGCTGTTGAAAAAGATTCTCAATCTAAATCTGAGTTATCTTGGTACCAATAATAGAATCAATGCATTGTCACACCCTCCATGCTCATGAATGCATATTGCAAAATCCAGTGAAGTTGCACCTCTTCTTCTCCACCATCTGAATCAGATTCCTCCCTAATCACCGTCCTTTCTCCTCTTCTTCCCCCATTTATAGAATTTTCACCTTTCTCTGAGCTTCTTTCTTTTTCCTTGAAGTGTTTCAACAAGTCTTTGATTTCTTGAAAATTATCTTGCATTTCCGAGATTATCTTCCCATGCTCGCTGGCTCATTTTTCCAAGGTAGCAATTCTACCTTTCATGATTTCCCCTTTTTCGGATCCGGCAGGTCAGACCAATTGTTAGGAACCAAGATTTAAAATAGAAAAAGAAAAGAAATTTGTTTTATTGAATAGAATGAAAAGAACTAGAAATAGGAGAAGACTGTCTTCCAAGGGTTTCCCCTTCACAAAGAATTTCTCCTTTTACAAAGAGTTAATGCTCAATTTACAAAAAAAATGAACTCCCTTCTCCTATCCTTCACACTCTATTTATATCTAAACAACACCTTATGTAACTAACTAACTCATTAATATGCTAACTACCTTACTAACTTCTTCCCCTTATACTCTAACACATTATTGAAAGGAAGATAAGAAAACGAAAGACAAACGCTACTGCCACACCCCAAAACACAAAGTAAGAGAGAGAACTCAACGGTTGCTAACAAGGGACACTTCAAGTTTTTGGTGTTGGTTGTTATTATTCATGTGTTTTGTTCAATGATCACTGCTTCTCTCACTCTCAAATATTCAGTTGGTAACCTTGCCCATGACATGAATTCTACCACTCAATGATTTGACGTGTCAGTATTATATACACATCCTATGAATCTTGATCTTGTTTGTGTGTACTTGGATTAGAAAATAGATTTTTAATGTGTTTGGTGAAATAAAGTCAATTATTTTTCAACCGTGAAGGCCCAACTTTTTGTCGCTTTAAGATTTTTATGTTAACAAATTGGTTTTTGCAGTGACACAACAGAACCAACCATACACTTTGAATGAAATTGGTTTTAAAAAACTGATTTAGAAGAGAAAGTTGGAAATGGTCTTAGGGGTAACTTTAACCCTACAAGGTTAGCTTCTTAAGTAGAGGACTACCCAAACTTTAAAAATCATATCCCTGGTTGATGTCAGAGCAACAACTACCCTAGAGATGCAGTTAACATAGGCCCCACAAAGGTAGAAACTAAGACAGGTTACCAGTGATTGCAATAAAGTGGCCTTCCAACAATTTGAGTAACAGGTGGTCCAAGTCAATAGACTATATCTTTGTGGCAGATAACCTTATCTCACGGAAGAGTAAAGAGCAAAATGTTGTTACCACATCAAGTTGGCTGAATACCATGCAACAAGTTAGCTATGTTAATCAATATAGAAGTGCCACCCAAATTGACTAGTCACCTCAAGTTTGCTTGGTAGCATATCTAGAATGCTACATAAATAAATGTCATTCATAGATTAATAATTTCAAATTATTTCTTCCCAGCAAGGGTAAGTAAGATACATGAAGGATTAAAAAGTTAAATACAAAAAATGAATAACATCTTTTACCAATTCTTTCACTGCAATAAACTGTTCTTCAGTGAGATGACAGTCCCAACCCTGGTCAAAAGATCCAGCATAAGATTCATTGTAACAGATTCCAGAATTATAAATAACTAATCAGTTTGAGTAAAGAAAGCTACTAACCGAATGTATATGCTCCCTTATACATTCAATAAATCCACTACCTCCAATCCCCTCGGCATCAGATTCAATCAAAGCTGCAAAACCAACCACACAATCACTTTTTGGCAGGCTTTCCAGATTTGCAATAGAGTAATTCGTCTGGCAACAAATGAAAAGATTTCTCTTAAAGTGTTAGTAAGAATTAGATATGCCATAATATAATACCAAGTATTGTTCCATATTCAAAGGATGAGAGAGGATCATCTGTTGCTCCCAGTTTAAGAAGCCGCAGCCATAAACCCTGTGTGATGAGAGAGACAATGTAAAACGAGAAAAAGATATTCAAGCTCGCCCTTTTTCAAGACAACATGATAGAATCAAACCAACATAGAGTTCAGATAGAATAGAAAGAAACATCATATATGGAGCATTAACAAGCACCCCTGATCATTGTGAGCAAGAGATAACACTCACTCACCCCCACCTATATAACTGGATTCTAATTAACATCTGGTATGTAATCAATCAGTTGACAATCAAGTGGGTAGTTATCCATAGCTACCCAGCCTCCTCTCCTCATGTAAAGGAATGAATATGAAGGATCAAAGAAGCTACCTGCAGCTTAACCTTAATATCTAGCACCATGCGCTCCCTTTCAGCCTAAAACCAATAAATCAATCATTTTAGGGACCATTTAAATCTGTACTTTGCTGACAAACAAGAAGCAGTAATATACTGGTGTTTTAACTTACAGCTCTCTCAAGTGGACTAAGAGTATCTGCTAAAGGATCCTTACTGCTCAACACAGAAAAGAATAGTAAGACAAAGAGGAAAAAAACAGAGAAAGAAGAAAAAGTTAAACCATACAAGCAAGCCTGATAATCAGTTAATTCAAGATATATAGAATTAACAAGAAAGTATTGCTCCTCAAAAAACAAATTCCATCCCAAATACCAAACAATAAGTTATATGCATCATCACCATTCACCACATTAGTCCTTGACAAAATTCTGGTCACCAAATTAGCCTTTCAAGGATTTAAATTATCGTTTTATTAGTCCACCAAAAATTATGCCACAACATCAGTCCCTCCAAAAATGACATTACATTGGTTCTTATCAAGGACAAAAGTGGTGACCAAAAAAATACCTCAGGTAACCAAAACTTTTGAAGGACTAATACCGTGACTAAGACTTTGGAGGACCAAATTAAGGGATTTCAAAATTTTCCAATATGATTCTGAATTTTTAAGTGTAGGCCACTTTTTAAAACATAGCTATTATTTAGTGCATATGGACTATGACTGGAGAGGGATACTAGATTGTTCAAGGCATTAGCTCTTTAGTGGAATAAAATGGTCTTAGTCACTCATATTACTCAACTATAATAAAAGAAATTAGTAAAAGCTAGTTACATAGATTTCACAATTAGACATGCACAGAGACAGCCTAGTTTCACTTGGTTCAGGAGATTTTCTAGTTTATGAATTATTAAATGTTTGGCTTCTAGAAAGATAAAGCATCCTCCTACTCCGCACTTCTTTTTCTGATACCAATGTTCTTTTATTTAACATAATGATAAAAAACGAGCCAAAAACTTTTGGCACTACAAACTGGCACAAACCATTTGTCTAAGTCAAAATTGATTTGGCTGACACCCATAAAAATTGATGCTGTCCATACAAATAAATTCCAAAGCTTCGTTACTTTATGAAACATTAGGTAATCGATCCCAAACATTAGGTATAGATACCTTTATGAAATTTGTCATATGGATGGATGTATATGCAAACATTTTGGCATAATGGGGAGATTCCCTTTAAAAAAGACATTTTCAAATCAGAGAGGATGTGCAGGACAATTTTCATGGCACCAATACAAAAATATTGATAAACTTTAAACATCCTTTACCCTTTCCACAATTGCTTGCGTTTACCTTGGAGTATGTCTTCCTGAATACTCAAAAGCGTTACTAACTGCTGCAAGAATCTGTTTCCTCTTTTCTTCTTGTTCATCTGTTCTGATATTTGCAGGGAATCTATCATAAGTGTGTTTGGCCCCAGATCCTGAAGAAACAAGAAGTAATGATCATATGCAGTTTAGTTTGTATTCACAACAAATTCATCTAGCTGGAAATTTTGTTTATAAGTCATTCATTTCACCTGATATTCCAATATCAGAATCTGATACTGTTAAAATCTCGGTTTCTACTGGGGATGAAGGAAGAATTGACATAGGGTTTTGACCCCTTCCGATTGCATCTTGCAGCTTATCAAGCAGATTATTGTTGCTTTCATCAGAACCTACTCCTCTTTCCAAATAATCCAAGAAGCCATGAGAGTCAAGGAACTGAGCTATCTGTAAAAATCAAATCTGAAATTATTATAAAGGAAGAAATATCTACACTGATATGAAGAATAAATTAGCTTCTAGTCATAAATCAAGAAAAGAGAATCTATCTGGTTCATGGTGGAATCTTCAATATTAAATCTATCAGAATGTTTAGAAAAGCATTGGATGCTTCCAAACATGGGTTCAATGCTTTTAAACTTGATTATGAAAATGATTGGATACTTTCAAACCGAAATTGCTTTTACTCCTAAAGATATGTTTGTGAGATTCCATCTTATAATCAATTGTCATTATGTGAAGTTGCAAAATAGATATATAAGTTGCAACCCAAGGAGGTAGGTGATGTGAGACCTTCCTATAATGTTTGCCTAGAGTGTAAAAAAGATGTAGCATTTGCATCGGGTTGAGGATCCCATACTAAGATTTAGTGTTCAACTAAACATACCTTTTAGATAAAAGTTTCCAAACATGGATCATCTTACTTTCCACCAAAATTAATTTTATAAAATTAAGACCATCCGAGCTCAAGTTCACACTCACTACAAAATATCTTATGGGACTGAATAGAACTATCATAATCAGTAAGAAATTTAATCATGATTAGGATCATTTAAGCTATTGTAATTTGCCATCACTGCTAATTGGAGAACATAATCCATGACATGACCCAAAATTTACCATGGGCTCTGGTGGTTGGTTAGTAGATCGAGACCGCTTCTTCAAAAAAGCTTGGGTGTTGAAGACTTGAGTAGCACTATTTTCCTGATGTCAAAATAATTCAAAGCTCGTAACAAAGTGATGAAATGGAAGATTGCAAACCAAATCTCTGAAACAAGAAATGAAAAGTCATACTAAAAAATTGCGATAACCACTTAAAAGTGTTGCAAAGAACTTTAGGAATATCATCCTGCACAAGACACAATGACAAAAAAACACATCAGACTAGACATTATTTATGTGCAACCAACATGTCTGGCTTGCTATTAACGAACACAATGTGCATAAACAATTTAGTAGTCCACCTCATTTGTTGAAGGCTATTTTGAGGATGTATTTCAATTAAAGAATTAGCCACAAAGAATTCAATAGAAAGCACAAATCAACCATCAATTTATTGGTCCAATTACATCTTTTGCTGAATTACTAATCATAATAAATTCAAAGCTTAATTGCATTTTTGGTTCCCTACTATCATTGAAATTTGAATTTGGTCATGCCATTTTTATTATGAATTTGATCTCCCGATATTTTAATTGTGAAAGTTTGACCCATCCATTATGTTCAATATTTATCAGAAATACTGATGTGGCAGAGCAGTAGAGTGCCATGTCAGCATTTCCATTAAAATTTGAATGCCAAGTTTATAAAAAAACAATTGAGACCAAATTTGAATTTCAACAAAAATCGAGGAACAAAAAGTTCAAATAAGCCCAAATCCAAAGAGATAGTAATGTTCATAAATATGCAACTTATGGAAGTAGTAAATACTCAAGCATCCAAACATCACCTTAGCTGGAGGTCATGATCCTCTCCCCAGTACTTAGTCCTAAGTTTAGGATCTTGATCAGATAAACGGTATATTCTAGCCTTCATCTCATCAATTCCAATTACATTGGGATATATTAGCTTCATTATCTCACCACGCAAAATGCTAAATTCTGGCTCGGGAATAGGAGGAATTTCCTCTGAGGTAGTGATGAGATTATACTCAAGGTCCACAACAACAACCTACAAAAGGTTAAAATACAACATTTTTATCAAAACTAAACATTCATTTGAAACAAATTTTTCACATGTATGCCAACCTCTAAATTAACAAAATAAAACACTCTTACAAAAATACAATAAAATAAGAAGTTGCACTACCATATAGCACCTTACATCAGTCGAGAAGCTATCAAACTAAAGTGTTACTTGGCAGAGCAACTTAGAAAACAGTATTGTATAAAGAAGTGATAGACAGGATCATAAGCAAGGTCAAGAGTATGATACTTTTAACAGTGTCCTTCGCATGACAGCCCATGGCCTAATTGCTTGGCGAAAATCCAACAAAACACCATAGGATGTAGTGGGTTCACATGGTGGCCAGATTACACTATGAGAGCTGTTCCTTGTTCAGATATCTAACTGCCATTCTATTAGTTATTAGATCTTAGTCTGTTAGTCAGATCTTATGCCTTTATAAATTGCTCTATACAAAAGAGCTTCTTTGTATTCTTCTAATAATAAATAGAACAGTTTCATATTTTCAGTTTCTCGCTTTTAACGATCTAACATGATACCAAATCTTCTAAATCCTAAAATGGCTACATTTCCTATTTCTTTCCAAAATAAAAAAACTCAAATCCATTTTTGCCCTCATACAGCTAGCTTGGTCAGTTGGACTATTTCCTGTGCATTGAAGTAAAAAGCCTCTCCAATGTCTCTCTGTTATTTTCATACGGGAAATATATTTGTGACTTACTGAACCTGTCCAACATGTTTGACGCTAAAGGAATTGCTATTCCCCCTTCTTTGAGAACTTGAGATGTCTAAGTTTGACAGTGATTACATTGACAATCCAACTTAATATAGGTTCTTTGCCAGTGCCTTGCAGTACACCACCATCACAAGCCCATATAGTGGCCAGTGCAAACAAGGTTTGTCAATTTATAGGACAAACTTTGGATTGATGCTGAGATTGAGAATTTAAAGAGCAAATCCAAGTGTTTTTGGTAGTCTAGCTCAATGTGCACTTCAAACCAAAACTCCAGCACAATGGTGAGAATCATATGGTGATGAACATCCAGAGTTACAATTGTTTGTTATTCGAGTATTGAATTTGACATGTAGTTCATCAAGTTGTGAGCATAATTAGAGTGCTTTAGAGAGAGTAAGAATTTGATTTATGAAATTGATTTTGAAATTATTTACATATACCTAGTAGGCTGGTATTATGTGTTAATTAATTGCAGTATGAATCTGGTTTCGATCCTCCAAATTACAAAAAGTTCATTTTATTCCCTTAAATTTTGAAAAATATGGCTTTAATCCCTAAATAAACTCTAAATTTGAGAAATTAAAATCAGAGTAGGGACTAAAATCAGTTTAAAAAAACGTTTAATTGTCGTTTAGAGACATACATTTTTCAAATTTAAGGGACTAAAACGAACTTTTTTAAATATGGGGACCAAAACTTCTGTTTGTTTACAGGATCGGAGTTCGAAACAAGTGATCGGCACCGGATGTGAGTCACATGGTCTTTATCATCTTCGACCTTCTACACATGTTGACACAGTTATAGAGTCTCCTTCTCTCCTTCATGTTCAGCTTGGTCACCCCAGTTTGACCAAATTACAACAACTTGTGCCCAGCTTATCCCAGTTGTCCAATTTGGTGTGTGAATCCTGTCAATTAGGGAACCATAGTCGTAATTCCTTTCCTCGTAGTATTTCACAACGTGCTTCATCCCCATTTGCCTTATTTCACTCTAACATTTGGGGACCAAGTCGTGTTAAGTCTAATTTAGGTTTTCAATATTTGTTACTTTTGTTGATGATTACTCCCGATGTACTTGGTTATTTTTAATAAAAAATCGTTCTGAGTTATTTTTCATATTTCAAACCTTTTATAATGAAATCAAGAATCAATTTGGTGTTTCTATTCAAAACCTTCCGGAGTGATAATGACCGTGAATATCTTTCAAACTCTTTTAAACAATTTATGACTTCTCATGGCATTCTTCATCAAACTTCCTGTACTTATACACCTCAACAAAATGGAGTGGCTGAGTGCAACAATAGACATCTTATTGAAACAACTCGCACTCTTTTAATTCATGGTGCGGTTCCTCAACATTTTTGGGATAATGTTGTTCTTATTGTATGTTATCTTATTAATCGTATGCCCTCTTCAGTTTTAGATAACAAAATTCCTCATTCTATTTTATTTTCTCGTGACCCTCTTCATCCCTTGCCTCTGAAAGTTTTTGGGTCCATATGTTTTGTCCACAATTTTGATCCTGGTCATGATAAGTTATCTTCTAGATCATACAAATGTGTTTTTCTAGGATTTACTCGATCACAAAAAGGATACAAGTGTTTTTCTCCTTCTTTTAATCGCTATTTTGTGTCTGCAAATGTCACATTTAATGAGTTTTCCTTTTACTTTAAGGGTCCTCTTCTACCTGATGAGTTTCGATCTACTACGATTCACATTCCTGTTATAATTGATCCTTCTGTTGAGCATGATCCACCATCAGACCCTCCTCCTCCACCACCCCTTCAGGTTTATAGTTGAAGACCTCGTCCACAATAAACACCACGTGACTCACTCCCAGTGTCAAATACTCTGCCTCCTCTGGCTCCACCCATTGAGTATGACCTTCTTGTTGCCATTCGTAAAGGTATGCGTTTTACTTGTAATCCTTCTCCACACTATACTGCTTTGAGTTACCATAGAATTTCTTTACCTTTTTATACATATCTCTCGTCTATCTCTTCTATGTCTATTCCTAAATCTAGATGAACTCAATGCTCTTCAGAATAGGGGGACCTGGGAGCTCGTCCCATTACCATCTGGAAAATCTATTGTTGGTTGCAAGTGGGTCTTTGCTATCAAAGTTGGTCCTGATGGTACTATTGATCGTCTCAAAGCTCGTCTTGTAGCCAAAGGCTATACCCAAATTTTTGGATTGGATTATGGTGATACTTTCTCTTCAGTGGCAAAGATGGTTTATGTTCGTTTATTCATCGTCATGGTTGCTCTTCAACAATGGTCTCTTTATCAAAAATACTTTCCTTAATAGAGATTTGCAAGAAGAAATTTAAATGGAGCAACCTCCCAGATTTGTTGCTCAGGGGGAGTCTTCTGGATTGGTATGTCGTCTCCGTAAATCTTTATATGGCCTAAAACAGTACTAGCAAAAATGACTTATGTTCGTTTATTCATCGTCATGGCTGCTCTTCAACAATGACCTCTTTATCAACTGGATGTCAAAAATGTTTTCCTTAATAGAGATTTGCAAGAAAAAATTTATATAGAACAACCTCCCGAATTTGTTGCTCAGGGGGAGTCTTCTGGATTGGTATGTCATCTTCGCAAATCTTTATATGGCCTAAAACAATCTCCTAGGGCCTGGTTTGGCAAATTTAGCAGCGTTGTTCAACAATTTGGCATGACTAGAAATGAGGCAGACCATTCAGTCTTTTACCGTCACTCAAGTGCAGGATGTGTCTATTTGATAGTGTATGTGTTGAACATTCAAGGACTTGATGTTGCAAATAACGTACCCCCCCTCTTGGTTTTTGTCCGACCACGCGAACATTCCGCTGCGCGATTCTAACAGTATGTTGATGACATTGTACTTATAGGCAGTGACCACTATGGCATCTCCCAAATGAAACAACACCTTTGCCACCATTTTCAAACCAAAGACCTTGGCAAATTCAGATATTTCTTGGGTATTGAGGTGGCACAATCTACCGATGGCATTGTTATATCTCAAAGAAAGTATGCATTGAATATTTTGGAGGAAACTGAGTTGATGAATTCAAAGCCTGTTGACACACCCATGGATCCTAATACCAAACTCTAGCCAAATCAGAGAGAGCCTATGTCAGATCCTGAGTAGTATAGAAGATTGGATGGATAATTAAATTACCTTACAGTTACTCGTCTTGACATTTCCTTTGCCATCAGTGTGGTGAGTCAATTCCTTAATTCTCCATGTCAAGATCATTGGAATGCAGTCATCCGTATATTAAAGTACATCAAAGGGTCTCCTGGAAAATGTTTGTTGAATGGTTCTAATGATCTACATATGAGTATTGTGTCTCCATTGGTGGTAATTTGATCTCGTAGAAAAGTAAGAAACAGAGTGTTGTGACAAGATCCAGTGCAGAAGCAGAATATAGAGTTATGACATCAGTTGTCTGTTAACTTGTTTGGCTCAAGCAATTGCTTAGAGAGTTACAATTTGGAGATGTCACTTAAATGACACTTGTGTGTGACAATCAGCCTATTCTTCATATTAGCTCTAATCCTGTCTTTCATGAGAGGACCAAACACATTAAGATTGACTGTCATTTCATTCAGGAAAATATTATGTTTGGAGACATTAAGACTGAGTTTCTTCACTCAAGTGATCAGTTAGGAAATATTTTTACTAAGTTCTTATGGGGGCCTATAATTTATTATCTTTGTAGCAAGCTTAGCACATACGCTCCAGCTTGAGGGGGAGTGTCAGATATGTTTAGATATTAGTTGATATTGTTTGCTATTGTTGAGATATTGTTAGATATTATTAATTACAATATCAAACAATATCTTCTATTTACCCTATTTGTATTCGGTTACTCTTTTTAGTTGTACATCTCTTTATTATAAATACATTGCCCTATGTGTGATTAAGACACAAGGGAGATTAACCCTATACAGTTTTTTCTCTATATTCAACAATAATTATTTAGGTTTAGACCAACAAAAAAGAATTGTTTATCACAAAAGACCATGAATTATGTGGTGTTAATGTTACAAAAGAAAGACTATAACATCAAAGATATTACTTTTGGTTATGAATGGACTACAGAGAATGAAGTAAACTCAGATTCAAATGCTTTAGATGAAGACATCTAGGTTGAAGTGGGAGAAGATGTTTGTGGTGGTGCACTCACCGCTGATTTTAAGGATCCTCCAATCATTAATGTAATGAGGAGGAAGATCATGTCAAGGATGACTATCCTGATTTTAATATGAATGATCCCCTTGGACAGTGTGTTTGTATTAAGAAATTATGAATTCATTAGTTATCATGAGTTATTTTATATCTTATGAACCTACTTTGTGAGGTGAGGTTTGCACCCTACTTTATATACTATAATTTGGTCATATTTTTAATCAATGCAGGATCTCTAACAACTTTATTATAAGTTATTTTTCTTGTGTTTCTTATTGTTAATGTATGTGCATGTCTATTATAGTTTTTCATATCTGCATAACTCTTACAAGTCAAGTAATGACCCTCGAGTTATGATATTTTATATCCCTTCCAATCCTGTTATGATCCTTGCGTTTGACAACATTGCTCACAACCTACACATTCACTAGTACCATCACTTCATGCAATGATTGCTATTGCTTATGCATCAGGTCAAGCTTACTTGTACACAGACTGGAGTGCCTCGCACCAAGCCTCCAATGTGTCTCAACATCCAACAACAAATTCCTTTTGAAGGCCCAGGTCAATATGTTCTTGGAAACAACCAGGGCCTCAACATTCAGTCAGATGATGTTCCCAAATTCCATTCTCCTGTTAAACTTGTTCTTAATAAAATGTTATATGTTCCTAAAACCTTAAAAATATTTCAGTGTCAATCAGTTTGCCAAGGATAGCTCTGTTTTCTTTGAATTTGCATTCCTCTCACTATTGGGCTAAATGACAAGATCCGAGTGAGATTTCATCAAAGGCACCATTGGTCCTTATGATACCAGTTTCCCTCCTTAATGGATCACCACACATTCTCAACCTTCAAGTCTTCATCTCCTAGTAGCTCTAGACTTTCATTTGTAAACAATCTAATAGTAAATACAGCATCTGCTGCATCTGTGTCTTTTGCCACTTGGCATTCTAAATTAGGTCATCCAAATGTGATGTACATCGTCTTATATTCAAATGATGTAATTTTCCACCCATTAATAGAAGTGTTTCTGACTTTTGTACACTCTTACAATGTGGGACTTGAGTTTTTCCCAGTATCACCCCCAGCTCTATCTAGTTAAAAGAAGTCAAATTAAACTTTAGAGCATTAAAATGAAGTGTAATAAAGTAGCAACAAACTGAACACCAGGATCCATTAGCAACGTAAAACCATAATGTTTTCTTCTGAAAATAAGATTTCATATAACTTTTACTCTTAAACCATTCTTAATATTCACCATTTCACAATATAAATAGCAAATCATTCGCTATAACAGTATACCTTGATCAAATGAATAATTAAAAGATTACCACTAACTAGTGGTAAAAAACATTCACGTCACAACTATGGCCACAAACTGGACTTCTGTAAAATAAGTGATGATCATGACAAAGAACAAGAGAAGGAGAGACTAACCCCATCCATTGCCAGAGCAGAAATATCAACACCAGAATAGAGCCCCATCATATACGGTGTAGGAGCATCAATATAATCTACTCCACTGAAAAACAGCAACGGAATGTATACATGCTTGAGGAAAGCAAAACAAAAAAGAAAAGACCCAAGAAAGATTGATTAGAAGTGAGTCAACAAATGTATCAATAATTTACGAACTAGCAAGATAAATTAAATATGATATGCACACAGGCAGAACAAGAATATCTCCCGCAGGGGAGGCTAAATATACACAAAATAAAGGAAGGGGGGGGGGGGTGGCGCAATAACTGGCAACTTTACTATTAATAATTGTTTAAAATTTAGTTTTTAAAAATATTATATATTTTATGAAATTAAATTAATAATAAAATCATTTTATTTTATAAGTTTGTGACCCAAAAGTGGGGTAAAATTGGTCAAAAGCATTTTGTAAACATAAAAGTCTAAAAGGGGATAGCCTACCAGTAAAAGGGGGAAGGAAGGAGACGATATAGGAATTTAAAAAAAAATGAAGGCACAAATATGTTATATTAGCACATTAGTGTATATGTTTAGAAAAGTTTGTAGACACGGGAGCAACTGCCCCAATTTACATTAAGATAGTTTCGTCCCTAAAGGGTGATGTTTAATTACAAATAGTGATTACAGAAAAAAAATGTTGTTAGGAGTTATGTCCATTTTGTTTCAAATGGAATATGTAACCAATTTTATTTACCATAATTTGACAGATTTGGGGACTTCTATTGGCATACGAGGAGCAGCATAACAATGTCCTCCCCTCCCTTTCCATCACTTGCTGGTATTTACTAACATGCATAGTGCTTAGTTCAGTTAATACAATTCCATTTATTATTTATAAATTATATTTATTTACTGTCTACATCTGTACTTATATATGACAGATTTGGGGACTTTTATTACGATATCAGTACCTACATAACAATGTCCTACAATTCTTCATTTTGCGGGTATGTTTAATTTGTATAATGCACGTTGTACCAGTCAGGCTTTTTTTATAGACTTACATTTCATATACATTCAGGATCACATACCCAGACAATGACCTATCACATCTATCAACCTAAAATATCAAATGTGTTTCTATTCAACGTGATGTTTGTTATGCCTTAATTATCAAACCACATTATTTCTTATTGTAATATAACTATCTACTACACAAGATTCACATTATTGAATTAAAAAAGATGTAAATAATAATTTCACCCATACTAGTTTAAGTAAAAAATGGGAGTACATTAATATAAGGAAAACCAATGCCAACCAAGTCTGAAAAGATTTTTAAAGCTCACCTGCCATCGGAAAGGGTAAATTAAGTGACAAATGGCCTCTGATGCAAGAGTTAGAAGTGAGTACCTGCCAAAGAAAATACAGACTAACAATAATTTTATGAACTGAGTTAATATAAAAACTAAATGACAAATTACCAGGCAACTAAGATAAAAAAAAAGGGAGAATTATGATCAACATGTAATATTTACTACAGGTTGAACATAAATGGTCCATAACACTAATTTCCCTAAAATAAGTCATGCTAGAAATATTGATAAAGTACTCTAAGGCTTGTCAAAATATCAAAGATTTGATATCCAGCGGAATCCAGAAGAATGTAAAATGTAAATTGTGTTATCATTATGAAGCATAGTGCAAACTCAGGTAAAACTTGTAAAAGTATCTGGTAACATTTACTATTAGCTTCACAGTGTCAGCTGTTATTAATGTGAAATTTACGGTAGTGTAGATGGAAGTCAAGGAACTGGATCATTTCTGCTTGAGAGGCCAATGTTGACCAAAAAAGTAACAGGGAATTACTTCAATAGTCTTAAAAAAGAAAGATACTTGTTAGCTCGAAGCAAAATCCTTCTCTCAAGTAACACTGCTGTAAACAGTCTCACTAGGTTGTCAACATCCAAGCACTGCACTATAGGCAGAAATGATATCTGTTCCACAAAATTTAGGACAGTCGTCAGCTAAGGAAGTTATGAAGATGAAGCACACAGCAAATAAACCCAAGAAAAAAGATCAAGGAGATTGTACATCAGCATGGGGGAGCCCATCATTAGGTGGAGCCTCTACAGAAAGCAAACAACTCTCAATAGCAAACAGAACTCGCTCCTTTCCAGGAGTTGGCAAAGGCACACTAGACACCATATGTGCTATAACATCCCATAGTGGCTTGCTGAAATTATTGTAGAGCTGGAAACATTAAAACCAATGGGAGCACAACACAATGCATGTTCACATTTAATCTAAGGAAAAACTTTCAGTAACATTCATGAAGCGCAACTATAACAAAACTCATGGTTACATGTTCATTTAAAAAGACAGAAAATGATTAAACTGAGTTATGTGCTGGTTTTCAAAAAGGATTAAAATGGTTTTACTTTACTATATACTGTACAGATCATAAACAAAGGTCATTACAATGTCAACAGCTGGATCCTTAACAAAGCAGGTGAAGTTATTGCCACTATGGCATACTTACCTACTTCCATTTGGGGAAAAACATAGAGTAAATATTTCCTCTAGAGCACTTCTTAATACACTGAAACTTGGCAAGCGTGAAACCAGACAGATGCATTTGTCAGCATATGAATTTGTCTGTATCCGGTAGGCCTCTGCAATATCCTCACAAATTGGATCCCGGAAAGAAATGCAGCTGACATATATTTTCGATCCATCACCCTCTGTATCAAATTCTTAAGTTGAATATGGTATCGAAAAATAGCACCCATAAAAAGAGGTAATAATGATCCAAGCAACAAAAATATACAATGTTTCTGGAATATCAACTGATAACTTGAAAAATATAAAAAGTTAAAATTGTGAAATTAACAAAAAGAAAAAGTAAAGGTAAAAGTAAATGTAAATGTAAATGTTAAAATATTTTGCAGATTTGAGGTCAAAACTAGGGGCTAGTTTATTACTACACACATTGTATGGCTGCTTTCAGTGTTACGGTGTGGAGGATGAATATTGGGTGTATCAAATGTACCCATTGACTTTGGAACAATTTCTCTCAGATTGCTTTGCTAAAGCATTATGCCTATATTTTAAGAACTTCTACTTCCCATGATTCTGTTAACAGATTCTTTCTGGTACGCAGCTTGTGGCCTCTTTCCCAATACGCAGAGATTGGAGGAGCACCAGATTCTTTAGTTTTCCTTGTCTTCCTTCCCTTATTTTACCGCTTTAGAGGCTATATTTTTTCAAGAAGAAAATAAATTCATTAAGGAAGAGCAAAAAGACACACAAACCCCCGTCAAAATGAAAATGAAAGAAGGGTACATCCATTGAGCAAACACATTTCTCTCAACATCCAACAAAGAAACCCCTACAAATAGTAACTACCTCTACACAAAAAGGAAGAATAAGAAAACTACTTTAACCCAAATAAGCAGCTCCACCAAGACACTATCATTGAAAATTTCCCCACCCTTCCTAGCTGTAGTTTCCTGCTATAATCTCCAATTCTATCGGTAACAACACACTTCATCACTAATCACTGCTGCACATGTACATTGTGACATCTACTTAATTAACAGAGTATCTCAACTAATACTTCAGTAGTGTAGTATATGCACAATATCTAATCTCTTACGTTTCACCATGACCACGTTCCTCGTGCTCACCTAATAGGCTTAGTTAACCACCTCGGCAAGAAGCTTCTAGAAACAATGTCTAACTTCCTCACACACTGCCGAAGAAACCAAGTCAACAACTAAAGGTAAATTGAAGATATAATAACGCTCTCACGCAAGCATACCGGTTAAAACAATCGGATAGCTCCGCGGAAACGAGGAAGGATCATTGGAATCGAATCCCGACGGGTAGAATTCAACGCCGGCTGGTAAAACACACTGAAAGCAACAACGACACACATCAGATCAAACTGAAGGCAATACAATTCAGCAACGCAAAAATAACACGTAAAGAAGACTTCGAAATCGTTGTGGAAAACGCGAAGGCGAAGAAAGCGATCTTTGCCGTTCGTTGCTTACTGTGGAAAGCTGAGGTGGCGGAGGAGGGTAGAGAGAGTGATTTAGAGGAGGATACTGATCGAGAAGAGAAGGAAGGTACATGCAAGTAGGGCCATGGTATCCTTTGCTTCCGTCGATGGTTCGAATCTCTGGTCCGATCCCGCACACCACGAAGTATTCGAAGATTCGAGACATTTCTTCTGGCGATGGCGAATCGAAGAGTTTCAATCTTTTGTGGTTACTTCCCCTTTCCCCTCTCCTAAACGCGAGAGAGAAGGGGCGCTTCGAGATCTGGTTATCTCGGTCTCGCCGATTGGTGAATTTGAATTTGAACGTGAATGTGAATGCGAATTTATACGACTTTTAACTAGGATTTCTGAAATGACGAAATTTGTTAGTTGTGGCCTTTGTAGAATAATGCAAACCAGGTGCTGAAGCGCTGAAAATGCATGTTTTTCGTCCAGTTCTGGAATTGATTGGGTTAACAAAGAAAGCGCGAGAAGAAAAAAATGAGAAGAGAAAATTGTTAGAATGTACCAAGAATAAAACGAGCATGTGAACTTTAATTCATAGTTATTGATTGCTGTAATAAAGTATATATATATATATATATATATATATATATATATATATATATATATATATATATATATATTATACTATCATTTTTCCTTTATCTTTCCTCAGATGTTTTCTTACAAACAAAAACAGAATCCGATCACATATCGTACTATAATAGGAGTCAAAATGAAATTACAAGACAAAAGAATGAACAAATGCATGGACTGAAAAAACAACATTCATAAATACGACCAAATATCTAAGACTAAAACATGATGTATAAATTTATTTTTGAAATAATATAAAACAAAATCCTAAATAATAAGAAAAAGTATTTGTTTAGCATCAACATTGTTAAAACTCACTATTTTTTCTCTTTTTTTTTTATCACTATTCATAGTCAAAATGGGACGAATGCCCGACCTACACCTTATGATCTTTTAAAATAAAATATATTCAATTTACTAAATCAATTTTTTATAAAAAAAATAAAAATAGATTTTATTCTCTTTTTAACTCTTTAAACTACCAAACTTTCAAAACCTGTTAGGTTATGTCTACAACGAATAAAAATATTAAATCAAATTTTATATATATTTTATAATAATATATAAAATATTTTTTCTTTATTTCATAAATAATTTGTTTTTTATCAACTAAAAATAATTTAAGTATTTAATAAATCACACATTAATAATAACAGGGCTCCTAGGATATAATATCTGTTATTTTTAACGTGTAATTTCTTAAAAAATCTTTATATATATATATATATATATATATATATATATATATATATACTAAACGTAATTTAAAAAACTATTATATTATAAATAAAATAGGAAATATAGATATAATTTAAAAATTATTAAAAATATAGTCTAAACTTAGTTTAAATATAAATTCAAGGTTGAAATAATATTTTTCGGTTATTTTCGAGTTTGACTTAAGTGATTTTGTTTTTCCATCATATCCAACTTATTGTGAAATTAAAATGAGGTTTGGTTGTAAGTTTTGAGACGAGATTAGTATTATTCTTAAGTGGAAGGAATTCATCTTTATAGGAAATCAGATTAATCATCATACATGGAATGGGAAGAGTAATACATAATAATACAGTAGATATTTTGCATTTGTCTTGTTTTGAAAAAATGAGACATTTTTCTTTGAGAAACTCGACATATCTTTTATATTTCCATAATGGATATGGTTTCTCTTGTTGATGTAATCTAGTCCATATACATTTTCTAGGTCCAAATTTTCTATAAGGAAAGAAAAAAGGTTTATATGGTCACCATCATCATCTTTATCACTAGAATCTCTAGTGTAATCACACATCAGGATTTGCATCCCATATGAAATTTCCATTGATCTTATATGTAAATATAGGTTTTCTGTTTGGGCAGATACTAGCAATAGGAATTTTTCTTTCTTTGATGACAGATAAGATCATCATTAATTGGAATATAGAATTACTTAAGCTTGGGATATATTCGGAATATTTTAATATAGTTTTGACAGTAACGTCTATAGATCTTTTAAAAGTGGCTTCAATAAGTTATATTGATTTCTTGTTGAAGTGGAGTTTTTCATAATTAGTGACTAGCTGGATGAGGATAAACTTTGGTAGGTTTTGTTGGAAGATGCTTTTAGGGATTTGAACAATAAAAGGTGTTTTGTCTTGATTATTGATTAGAATAAATAAAGTTTCACTTTTGTATGAAGGTAATGCAAGATTTATATATGATCTTGTAGTATATAAATCATCTGATGATAGAGAGTTGTCTTATTCAACTCTTGGGATTTTGAATTTGTGTCTTTAATCTTGAGATACTACGAGATCTAGGGATTACAAAATAGGTTAGTCACATTGGGCCGACCTATCAGTCTGTCTAAAAAATGGTAGGACAAGTTGATGGTTTTAGCCCGTCAACTCGTTTTAGTCTACTCCACCAATTTGATAAGCCAAGAGCGGGATGGGATGAACTGATCTATTGACTCGCTTTTAAAAAATATTTATGTATTAAAATTAGAATAAAAAAGTTTATAATTAAAAATATTATATTTTGTTGTGTTATCTTATTAAAATATGTAAATATATTATAATATTGGAATTTAAATTATAAAAATTAATCAATTAAATTTAAATTATTAATTATAACTAGTTATTTTCACATATAAATATAATTTTTTTAATTTATCTAATAAAAATATTAATTAATAAATAAAAACTCAAAAATTATTCATATAATTAAGCATATATTTTTAAAATATATATATATAAATATTTTATAGAAAAAAATTATTAGTAGATTGACTCACTGATCCGTCAAGTATGCCTTTTAACGAGATAAGTTGAGATCTGTAGTTCATCGTAATTATAACGAGTCAGTCCATCCCATCTTATTATTTACGTGTGGAACTAAAATAGAAAGAATTGATCCATTTTATCATCTCCGATATAATCTTTCGATTTAAGGTTAGAGTTACAAAATATTATCGTAATTCATTTTTAATATGAAAAGTGATTAATATTGTGTTGATTTTAATGTAAATAGTTAAAATCTAAAAGAAAATTTTTGGCTGGAAGAAATAATTTACGTCTTAAATAAATATTAGTCTAATAATTCTATAACCAAGGTGAATATATCCTTTATTACATTAATATTTAATGAGATCTTTAGAAATATTTGTTTACTTAGGATAATCTAAATCAATCTTTGTCTTTATAATATATTATAAGAACTTTAAAAAATCGTATTTCTATGACACGTGAAGGACATAAATTCTCTATTTTTGATGAAAAAGTGTTTGAAATATTTTTTGGGTAAGAAAGAGTATAAAGGTCGTAACTTAGTGTTTGGTTATCATTAACGAATCTTCTTGAAAATGCTCCGGATCATGAATAATTTTAATATGTATATATAATTTTGGTTTTCAAAATCATCGTTGAATATATTTATTTATATATTTATAATTTGCCGTTACTCTTCTTTTACCTTTTTAATCAATGAAAAGTTCTCTACGCCCTCAATTTATAATTTATACTGTCATATCGCTCCTTTTGACTATACTACTTTGGACGAAACTTCCTTCGATACCAAACAACATGCTGCGCCATTCAGGCCACCATGACTTAAAAGAAATAAAAGACAAATTAAAGAGAGAGTAGATTAAAGTCAACGATGCACCGCGCTTAAGCAGAAGCAACATCTTTCAACGATTCATACGATCAATCAACCAAGCATGTCTACTTCTCTTCTCATCCTTTCCACCTTCGTAATAACATTCATTATCTCCTTCATCTTCCTGCGTCGAAACCACACCAAAGATGACCGGAGACACCCCCCAGGCCCACCGCCCTTCCCGGTCATCGGTAACCTCCACATGCTGGGGAAGCTCCCGCACCGCACGCTCCGGGCCCTGGCCCAACAATACGGGCCCATCATGTCCCTGCGCCTGGGTCAGGTCCCAATCGTCGTGGTCTCCTCCTCCGAGGCCGCAGAACACTTCCTGAAAGCACACGACGCCGTTTTCGCGAGCCGTCCAATACTGGAAGCGTCCAAGTACTTCGGCTACGGCTCGAAGGGGCTGGTGTTCTCAGAGTACGGCCCGTACTGGCGGCACATGAGGAAAGTGTGCACTCTCCAACTTCTGAGCGCATCGAAGGTGGAGTCCTTTGCGCCGCTGAGGGAGCGGGAGCTGAAGCTGGCGGTGAAGTCGGTGGAGGAACGCGCCGCGAGAGGGGAGGTGCTGGACCTTAGCGCGGTGGTACAGGACCTTGTAGAAAATATCGTGTACAAGATGGTGCTGGGGTGTAGCAAGCATGACGAGTTCGATTTGAAGGGGTTGATTCAAAACGGCATGAACATCACTGGTGCGTTTAATGTGACAGATTACTTGCCTTGGCTTGGTCCTTTGGATCTTCAGGTATACTAAATAACACAACCATAACATAACCTTTTCTTTGCCTTATGCACTAAGTATCGTTATGTCAAAGTAGCAAAAATAGCAAAGATAATAGACATTTCCAAGAAGCATAAGTGCTTTTTTGAAAGTATTTTTTAGTGTTAAAAACATTTTTTTAGGATAATATTCTTTGTATTTTAGGAAAAATATTTTTTTGACATCTATTTTTTTCAAACATTCAATAAACAATCTTAATATATATATATATATATATATATATATATATATATATATATATATTTGTGATTGATAAAAAGAAAAGAAAAGAAAATAATAATATAAAAAATTTAAAAATAATTGGTAAATGAATGTTTAGTAAAAAAAAAGTTATCAATGTATATTACTCTTAATAAAAAATAAGCAATTCTCATGATATGAATAACTTAATAACAACTGTTTTTATTAATTTTATAATAATAAAAGTTTATATTTTTATGTTTAGTATTATTTATGTTTGAAATGAAGAGTGGTATCAAAATATCACTTCCCCTATTTAATTTACAAAATTGTCACTTTGGTCCTAACTAAGGGAAACATTACTCGCTTTAATCCTTTTCTTTTTAACCTCAAAACAGCTTTGAAAAATGAAGTAGAAAATTATTTAAACGAATGAATTTTTGAGTAGTTTAAAAACCGAAGTGATGATTTTAATACTCGGATTAAAAGGAAGTTTACTCATTTTATTGAGCTACCAAAATGAAGTTTATTTTTTTATGTTTTTTAAGTTAGTTGACATTCATTGTCAAGTATCTCTATGATGGACTTCGTTACCTATCACACACTTGATAGAGATCAGATGCAGGACTTGAGCGAGTTGCTCTTTGCATGGCAACATCTTGTCCTGAATTTTAGCATGAAAATTTAGAGTTACTTTCAATTCTTTTATGTGAATAAGTAATTTAACTTCTATTTTCAGGGATTAAATCGAAGTTACAAGAAAATAAGTACAGCACTTGACCAATTGTTGGAAAAGATAATAAAGGAGCATGAACACCGTTCTTCAGATGTACAAAATGAACAGCATCATAAGGACTTCATAGACATATTACTCTCACAGATGAACCAGCCAATCGATCCTTATGATGAAGGAAACCATGTCATTGATCAAACTAACATCAAGGCTATACTCTTAGATATGATTTCTGCGGCATTTGAAACTTCTGCAACTGTGGTGGAGTGGACATTATCCGAGCTCCTAAGGCATCCAAGAGTGATGAAAAACGTTCAAGATGAGCTAGATAACGTGGTTGGGAGGAACAGATTGGTGGAGGAAAATGATTTGGCGAAGTTAAGTTACTTGGATATTGTGATCAAGGAGACCTTGAGATTATATCCTCCTGGACCATTAGTCCCCCGGGAGTCGACAGAGGATGCTATAGTTCAGGGTTATTTCTTAAAGAAAAAATCAAGAATCATAATAAACTTATGGGCAATGGGAAGAGATTCTAAGATATGGTCTGAAAATGCTGAAATATTTTATCCAGAGAGATTCATCAACAACATTAATTTAGACTTCCGAGGATATGACCTCCAATATATACCATTTGGGTTTGGTCGAAGGGGATGCCCTGGAGTAAACCTAGGCTTAGCAACAGTTAAACTTGTTGTGGCTCAATTAGTACATTGTTTTAGTTGGGAACTTCCAGGAGGTATGACCCCAGTTGAGTTGGACATGAGTGAGAAATTTGGCCTCACAATACCAAGAGTCAAACACTTGCTTGCTGTGCCCAGGAATCGTCTTCGGAGGGAATCTTTTTATTGAATCAAAACGCTTTTAGTTTGAGGTAAAGCATGATATGGTTCCAAACTTATTTAGTTGTCCTACTTTTTTCTTTTGTAACGCTATATAAGACACTTGTTAACTATATTGTTGTTACACATAATATATATGGATGAAATATTCTGCTGCTTAAGCCTTCTGCTACTGTGCGAATGAACATTCTCCTGCTTAGTTCAGGTAACTAAGGGTTTTATTTTTGGTTAGTGATTTTGCATGTTTTTACTTTTGGATCCATTTTCTACTTTTGTATGTAAGTTTTTTGAATGCTTGAATCTTCATTGTTTTTGTGTTCATCCCTGATTTACTTTGTAACTATGTCCGTGTGTCAGTAAATTGGTTATTGTGTTTGATTTACACTATAGGGGTAGTAGTAGTAGAAGTACGACACTGAGTCTGAAATAGGAAGTTGTTAACCCTGGATTAGTTGCTCATTTGGCTGAAGTATAGTCTTGCCTATAATTTTTCACTAGTTTTTCTGCTGTGTCATCTGGCACGATGTCTTCTTGATAATCCTTTCTTCTGTGAATCAATCATATTTTCGCTAACCACCAGGTTATATTTTTGAAATGTTCACGGTAATTTCACATTTATCAATTAACGAGCCTATACTTTGTTTTACGTAATGAGCTTGTAATATTAAATTCCACCACAACAGTTAAAGAAGCCTCCTTATAAAAAAAAAAAATATAAAGATGATGGCCCTCAATTTTTATCAAAATTTACCAAATAAAAGCGAATCCCATTAACTGCGGCATCCTCATATGCCAAAGGGGTCCCATCATTACAAGCAATCAACAAAGGAGAAGAAACAAATTAGCAACCCTCCAAAGTAATTTAGAATTAGTTAAGCAGAATTTGTGCAAGATAATGCTCGACACGAGCCATGCAAGTGTATGTTTCAGTCCTTGAATTTTAAGCGGTTACACAACCTGGTCCAAAACCCAGGTGATGCTACTTGTGCTTGTTGCTCAACTGGGTCAACAAAATTTGCTATTTCACCCAACTCCTCGAATGAATCAACCAGATTTTGAAGCCTTGCCACAAATTCAATCAGAAGCGACGTAAATGTTGTTAGTGACAGTGAGCTAGCACTTTCGTAGGTTTTTGATTCTTGACCTTCTTTGGCTACTGGATTTGATTTGTGGTAAATATGATCGGGCCAAGTTATACCTTTCCTGAACATGTTTGGAGAGGCATCGGTTGCAGACATAGCAGGGCTATCGCCTAAAGTTACTTTTCCTTCCCAAGAATGTGGAACTTCAACTGTTCTCAGATCAAGTACTGCTTCACTAAGAGACTTGTACTCAAGAAATTTTCTTTCTTCATCCATGTTGAAGAGACCCTGTTCTTGACGATCACTCTCCTCATCCTCTCTTGGACGGTTTCCAATTTCCCAGGTCTCTGAATTCACAAGAAGGTATGATTTTTTATCAATCTTCTGTTGCAATTCCTCTGCTGCTTCGTGCACCTCAAACAGCAAGTCTCCTCGACCTAGTTTCTCCATTTTTTTAACCTTGTTTCCAAGTTCACGCAACACTCTTGCCCCTTCACCACCTACCCTTTGAATTTCACTACGGAAAACTAGTCTCTTCTCAGCTGGGGCCTATTTATCACAAAAGAAGTTTAGTCCACACCATAAATAATATTAACTCAAGAAAAAAGAAGATGAAACTATTCAACCAGCAACTTGTACTGAGCAATAAAAAGTGTAGTCTGGGAAACTAACCTACAAATTACACAAGTATCTAACAGTTGGAAACCTCTATTTGAACATTTGGAATGTCATGCTCATGCACATGTATGCTGTTAGTGTGAGTTTGAAGACCACGACATTTGGCTCAAAGAAAAATAAAGGGTCCAATTTTTTTGTCACAAATCCCGAAAGCATGTTTAAAAGTTGGTGAAACAAACAGACTGATATAACTTTATAAGGGCCGTGGAACCTGGAATTGATTATGGTATCCACCAATACCCAATAATACTGATATGACATAAAGGTTGCTTCGTAACAGAAAACGAAATGCCATGATAAAAGCTTCATCGAAGCAATGAAATAGTCTCAGAAATGGATAATGAGAAAGGGTAGTACCCAACCCAAAGGAATTTCCAGTATTGCTAGGGAATAAGGTCAAGCGTCTAAATAGATTTCTAAGTCACAGTCATATCTATGATGAGGACCTGAACAGCATCTCTGAGTTACCATAACAACGAACTGATAATTGATTTGCGGAACATTGACAAAATTATACAAAAATTCTATGAATTGCTACAGAATGTAATTGCAACTTATAGCATTTAAGGTTCAAAAACAACACACGAGTCTTTTTGGTGTTAGATAAGTTAGAAGGCATAGTTGATATATAGTGAAGATATGTTAATTTTTTTAGTGCACTTAAGATAGATAATAATCAACTTAATGAAGATCGTATTCAGTAATTACTATTATAAAAATAATGATAATTTTATAATTAAATGAAAAATATTGTTAAACTATTTGTACGTAAGCTATAAGCTGTTTCTAGAAGTTATCTTAGAAAACTTATCCAAACATGCCAAAAAAAACACAGACATACATAACGAAAGTTATATTTATAATTTCTTCAATAATTCATGTGTAAAACTAAATGTGAAAAAAAAAAAAAAACATGAAAACCAATTTTAATAACTAACGTTGGAGTTAGAGTAGAAGTGTTAAAATAATAATTTTAAAAAGAGGAAGTAAATGTGTAATTACAGCAAATATTAGGATGTGTTGTTGCTATTAGCTATTGAAAAAAAAAATAACTACTGTACATGTGTATGCTTTTAAGTTTTAACTACAATTTGAGAAGTTTGAGAGATTTTCTAATTCTAACAACAACCATTACCAAAAAGTCCAGAGAACAGAAGTACCTGTATTTCAGAAAGTATGCATCCATGCATAGCCATGACCATAAATGCACAATGTCTTAGAGCCCCGCTTAGTTTCACATAATTCTTCCATGGATATCTGAGCATTTTGTAACGACCATGTGGTGGTTCCCAGACAGCAAATCCCATCTACAATCACCAGCATGTCACAATGAGTCAAAATGATGATAAACATACATATATTCATGACCCAGAGAAAACTGAAGTAGACAGTACCAATGAATCTTCTTTACTTGTAGATTCAACAACCGATCTATAGCCATTGTAAACTGGGTCATCAGCAGCTTGGTAAGTAAGAATTTTAGATGGCACCTTTTTATATTCAACACAATGAAGGTAGTGATTCACAACACCTGAAAAAAAAAAAAAAAAAAAAAACTGAACAGTACAACTAAACCAAGGAAACAAACAAATTTGAGAAGTGGCAAACTAAACGGTATCAACTGAAAATGAAATGAGATGAAGAAGAAAATATTGCACAATACCTTCCAAAGATGTTGCAACACCCATGAAATTTTTCGTGACAAGATTATGCAGGTCCTCACCAGCCCAGATAGGGTATATACAGATATTTACTCCCAAAGATACAGCAGCACCAAGTGCAATAAGTAAAAATCTTTTTACAGCTGTATCTAAAAATTCCCCTGTTCGATACCCAGATACAGTAATGAAACAATATGTGATCAAGAACACACGGAACCCATATTCGTAAGCCTTCAAAGTAGGGTATAGTTTTGCATAGGTGGCACAAAATCCTATCATATCAATCACACAGATAGTCAGAAACCATAAATAAATATGCCTGAAATGCGCAACTTTGGATCCAACATTTTTTCACAAACAAAATGTGAAAGAAAAGTGATTATGAAAGTGAAACCATACCTACAGTGAAGATGCTTATAATAATTATAAGCTCCTCCCAATCTCCAGCCAGTTCAGATAACTCTGCCATCCCCAGAGCAAGTCCTCCAGCTGACAAAGTTCCCAATCCTCGGTTAAAACCTTTGCTCAGAGTTGCCCCTACATCAATGCATCATGTTTTATTATAATTTACTACGAATTTAAGTTATAGATACATATCCCCCTTGACCCAATGGAAGACATGAAAAGGACTTATGATTAAACTATAGATATCAGATGAAAATAACCAATAGAAAAAGCAATAAAAGCTGTTGAATCAGGTACACATAAAGGAAGCCAATTAGAGCAAAAGGTGGCCCGACAGGCCAATATGATTAGAAGTTTTCTTCTCACTGTCCCCAAAACAACTCTCCCATAACTAACAACCGTACTTTATTCAATAAATTAAGTACATAATCAACATCACCTACAATTATTTTCAACCTTTATTGGAAATTTATATCATATATCACTAAATTATTTATAATTATAATAAATAAGCATGTGTAACCTTTAAAAAACTTTATTTTTAAACCCTTAATTCCTTATCCTCAAGTGCATTTCTACCACTATCTTCAAATCCTTATATCGTATAAACCCTAAGCCTTAAAGAACCCAAGAATTCATTCTAGACAGTGACACATATGGTTTTATATTAACTAACATCCACCTCTACCGGAGAAAAGGAGTAAACGAATAATGAAATAAAGTGCCCCAACACAGAAAGAAAATATAAAGTATATAAAGCAGATATGTATATGTGTATATATATATATATATATATATATATATATATATATATATATATATATATATATATATATATATATATATATATATATATATATATATATATATATATATATATATATATATATATATATATTCTATTGTGACTACAGAGTTATTATGGTTACATTAGTAATACCTATGCTGAATTCAAAGACTACGACGACAGTTAGAATGGCCCAGACGGTGTAGCGACTCATATCCTTGAAGGGTTCTTTGAGGAAAATCAAAAACGAAATAAGGGTCAGAGCAAGACCCATTTTTACAGAGAAAATAGCCTTTCTGGGATCAGAGCAACCCATTTCCCATGCCTTCTCCGCCCCTTGTTTAACCTTGTTCCACCACTGCACGGCCCACCAGTGTTCTTCTTCTTGCATCCTCCCCATTCCAATCCCCATCTGAGAAATATTATTACTACCCTTCTCCGAGAGAAGCCTCTCCTTCTTCTCCGCCAAACCGTGACGAAACGACCCCGAATTCGACAATTTCGGCGCCATTCGAATAGAGGTTAAGATTATTGGTAATGAATGTTATTCCGTTTGAGTTCTTCTCATTTGACATGTGAACAGTCTACATGTGACAGTGCTGAAGGTTGGGTAGCTATCTATTGTTGAGTATATATACAAAAACAAAAAAAGGTGATCAGGTTTTGTGTTTTGTACGCTGTGCATTATTTGCATCCTCAGAAAAAGGTTAATACAAAAAGACAAAAAAATATCCCTGGTCTTTGTGGTGTCGTGATTTTCTTGTGTTTCTTTTACAAGACATGACATCATTGTAACGAAGAATGGGGGAGATTCGGTTGCATGCAGTCTTGGTCGTTTAAAATTGGACACGTCACAGGATTAGCCAAGATTCCCGTCAAGAACACCAATTACGTTCTTGTGGGAATCCGCCACATTTTCTTTTTTTCCCACTTCCCTACGGAGGAAACATATGGATATTTTATTTATTTATTTAGGGGAAATTTATATCAACTACCCTGAAATCTTTTTAAATGTAAATCTTTATTTTTTTAATTTTAAAGTAAACATTCATATTTATTTTCATTCTTAATTTTGTAAATATTACTACTCAAAAATTTTGCATTTTTTTTACGTTTTATCACTCAAAATTTTCTTTCAGATTTCATTATTATATTTGTAATTTTTAAACATTTTATGATTGATAACAACGTTGTCATTTCACAGGAGAAAATATTATTATAACATATCATCATTTTATTACATATTTAATATATCGATAAAATATATAAAAGTTAAAAACGTGACGATGTAATATGAGAAAAAATTAAAATTATAAAATTCGTCAAATGTATATTGTGAAATAAAAAAAATAGAATTAAACGGTTAACTTAATATAATGGGATTTATGAATCTGGGAATATGAAATCAAATAAATGAAGATAGAAAGAAGAAAGTAAGTTGTTGAAAGAAAAAAGAAAGACGAAACAAATGGGAAGGTAAAGATGCTTGCGTGCGTTGAATAATTAGGAATTGAAGAGAAATTTACATACGTATTAATATGATTTTATCTTAAAAAACATATCATTGATTTATAAAAAAATTATTCATGGTCTGAAATTCTGAATCATGTAAACCTTTGTAAATTATAAATAATAAAAAAAACTTTATTTTTTTCATGTTTTCTAACATTTTTTTTCATATAACAATCTAATATATTAATATAATAATATTATCCGTTTGAGTTAAAAAAATAAAAATTAAAAACCCAGACGTAACCATTTGGATAAAAGTATTGTCTTAACTCAATGCAACCCTATTGATATACATTCCTTGATAAAAAAAAGACATGGCATCATTAATGCACATCCTCATTTAGCAACCTTCAAAAGTAATTTAGAATCAGAATCAAGTTAGCAACCTTCTAAAGTAATTTAGAATGAGTAATGCAGATTCTCATTTAGTATATCAGACTCTGCAAGATGAAGCTATTGACACGAGCAATTCCAAGCTTCAATCCTTAAATTTCAAGCTGTCACAAGGAAGACCATATTTCAGTTCTCAAATTTTTCAGCATTTAAACAACTTGGTCCAAAATCCTTGAGATGTTACTGGTTCTTGTTGCTCAAGGGAGTCAGCAAAGTTTGCTATTTCACTTAGTTCCTCAAATGAATCCACCAGGTTTTGAAGCCTTGCTACAAACTCAATCAGAAGCGATGTAAATGTTGTTAGAGATAATGCACTAGCACTTTCGTAAGTTTTTAGTTCTTGACCCTCTTTGACCTCGGCATTTGATTTATGATAATAATAAATATGAGCAGGCCGAGATATCTGTTTTCTGGATATGTTTTGAGAAGCATCGATCACAGGCCCAGCAGGGTTATTGCCTAGAGTTAAATTTCCTTCCCAAGAATGTGGAACTTCAACTGTTCTGAGATCAAGGACTGCTTCACTACGAGACTTGTGCTCAAGAAATTTTCGTTCTTCGTCCACGTCAAAGAGGCCTCGTCGTTGAGGATCACTCTCCTCCTCCTCTATTGGGCGGTTTCCAATTTCCCAGGTCTCTGAATTCACAAGAAGGTATGATTTTTTATCAATCTTCTGCTGCAATTCCTCTGCTGCCTCGTGCACCTCATACAGCAAGTCTTCCCTGCCTAGTTTCTCCATCTTTTGAACTTTGTTTCCAAGTTCACGTAACACTTTTGCTCCTTCAGAACCTACCCTTTGAAGCTCACTACGGAAAACTTGTCTCTTCTCAGCTGGGGCCTATGTATCACAAAAGGAAGTTAAGTACACACGTATAAATAATAATAATAATAATAATAATAATAATAATAATAATAATAATAATAATAATAACAATAACAAGAAAAAAAAGACAACAGACAAATTTTAAATGAGAATTAAAAAGTGTATCTAGTTAACAAGCGAAGTTGATGCATTTGGAGTGCCAGCATCAAGTGCATGTGCTGTTACTGTGGGAGTTTCAACAGATGTAGTTTAAGAAACATAGGTTTATGGCAGAAACAAAAATTTAGTGGGTTGCAGAAAGTCATTGCATAACTTATAGCGTTTGATAAGTGTAGAAAACAATACATTTGTCAGATGTTATATATAGCATCATCGTTCAATAAACCCTGAAGTGTAGAAATCTTAGATTCTCACAGCTAACACAGGTTATATCTACCAACATCTATCCATGAAAGAAAAGAGAAATTCAGATGACTACTGAACACTCATCATAATGAAAAACTAATGTTTCAGAGGTTTTCTAACAACTATTATAAAAAAGTTCAAAGAAAAGAAGTACCTGTATTTCAGAAAGAATGCATCCATGCATAGCCATGACCATAAATGCGCAATGCCTTAGAGCCCCACTTAATTTCACATAATTCTGCCATGGATAGTTATGCATTTTGTAATGACCATGTGGTGGTTCCCAGACAGCAAAACCCATCTTCAATCACCATCACATAACAATGAGTCAAAATGATGTTAAACATATATTCATGAATCAGAGAAAACTGAAGTGGACAGTACCAGTGAATCTTCTTTACTTGAAGATTCAACAACCGATCTGTAGCCATTGTAAATTGGGTCATCAGCAGCTTGGAAAGTAAGAATTTTAGATGGCACCTTCTTATATTCAACACAATGAAGATAGTTATTGACAACACCTGCAAAAGAGAGAAGCTCAACAGAATTTATTGTCAACACCTGTTGAGATAAATATATACGACTAACATTCTATCTATTATAAATTATTGTTCTTTAATTCATTATCGTGTATTTTGGTTCATTAAATTGTTAATGTTACAAGGTTTATGAATAAAGCTAGAAACTGGTTAAAATTAGAGATTTGTTATCATATTATACTAACGTTAAAGAATGTTTCTAAATGCTTATTTTAATTAGTAAATTAGTTTTACCAACTTAATCTTGAGCTTAGAATAGACACACAAACAAATGCTTTAATCTTTGCTTCAAAAATTATTTTATTACTTGATAATTAAAATTAAAGAATTTAATTTAATCAAACAAATATCTTAAAGTAAAATATTGTTATATTTTTTCTAGCACCAAATAAATAAATAATATAAATTTAAAATGAACAAAATAAATTGAACTTAGTGCATACGTTAGTTCCTCACATTGGATGGGTACAGGGTTCTATAAATTGCTTGACTTTGTCAAGAAAAAAAGTTCAAATTTTCAAGACTATTGGCAATGGAAGAAACAAACAAGATCAAGATAAGTCAATAAGTTTTAAATAATTGTTAGCATAGAATAAGGTGGAAAAAGTTAGGATCACACAAAGATATCATCAAATAAGTTTTCTATTATAGTGGATTAGAGGTTACTAATTGATAGGAATAGTGGTGCTTAGTATATTCTATAAAAAGACATTCTCAGAAGACACAATAGACAATACTAGTGCCACTGCTTCTTCTTTTATCATTTACAATGGGTTACTTTTGTTTGATTTTAGGTCCACCTATCGAAACAGTTGATAGCAATGGTGTAGAATCCTTACACGATAGAAGAAAAGTTTCATAATTTAAAAACAGATATCTAGGTACATATGTTAAGTTTTCCTAGTTTTTATTGTGGTAAATTTGAACACAAGTAGATTTTTTTATTCTGCCATACATGTTATGAACACTGTTTTTAACTGTCATGTATACAGCCTAGGAAACATGTTTGAGAAGCAACAAACCAAATGGTATTAACTGGAAATGAAATGTGACGATGAAGATAACACTGTACAATACCTTCCAAAGATGTTGCAACATCCATGAAATTTTTTGTGACAAGATCATGAAGATCCTCTCCAGCCCAGATAGGGTATATACAGATATTTACTCCCAAAGACACAGCAGCACCAAGTGCAATAAGGACAAATCTATTTATAGCAGTATCAACAAATTCCCCTGTTTGATACCCGGATACAGTTATGAAACAGTACGTGATCAAGAACATGCGGAATCCGTATTCATAAGGCTTGAAAGTAGGGTATAGTCTCGTATAGGTGGCGAAAAATCCTATCATATCAATCACAAATATAGTCAGAAGACCAATTCATAAGCTAGAAACACATTCATGCGAATCATAAAACAAAAGTTTTGTCACAAAACAAAAATATGAACTGAAAGTGAGTGTGAAACCAGACCTACGACGAAGATGCATATAACAATTATAAGTTCCTCCCATTTTCCAGCCAAGGTTGATAACTCTGCCATCCCCAGAGAAAGTGCTCCAGCCAACAAGGTCCCCAATCCACCATTTAAGCTCTTGCTCAGAGTTGCCCCTGGCATCAGTGCATTATGTTTGATCATAATTTAATTCACATTGGAGTGATAGAAAGATTAGACACATAGGCCACGTTTGACCCAATGGAAAACATGAAACGGATTTGAAGCTTAGAACAGGATCAACATCACCTACAGTTTCTCAACCATGAAAAAAAAAACAATTTATTCTGTGACAATCAAAATTTAGTTACAATTGCATTCTAGTTACGTATACCTATGCTGAATTCGAAGAGTACGACAACAGTGAGAATGGCCCAGACACAGTAGAGGCTCAAATCCTTGAAGGGTTCTTTGAGAAAAATCAAAAGAGAAAGAAGGGTCAAAGCAAGACCCGTTTTTGCAGAAAAAATAATCTTCCTTGGATCAGAGCGACCCATTTCCCATGCTTTCCCAGTTACACGCTTAACCGTGTTCCACCACTTCACCATCCTCGATTGCCTTTCCTCTAACGTCGTCATGCCAATCCCTATCTGAGAAATGTTACTACTACTCTTCCCCGAGAGAAGCCTCTCCTTCTTCTCCGCCAAAGCGTGACGGAACGACCCCGATTTGACTAATTTGGGAGCCATTTTTCCTAACCAGAGAAAGTGGAAACTTTAAGTTATTACTGTAATTCTGTTTCAAGAACTTGAAGGTGACATGTTATGAGTAGTGTACTGAATTAATTTCTCCCACCACAAAAAAAAACTTGTCATAATATTATTATATTATCTTGTCAAATAATTTTGGAACTTAAAATATATGCACCTATTTCGTTGTAAAATTCAATGAACTTTTAAGGGAATATATTCAGTTTTTATTTTGGTTGGGAAGAGAAGCGGATAGAAGAGATGACATCATTGTGACAAAGAAGAGACCAGAATCGGATCCTTGACAGATGAGCCCAATTCCCGTCAAGAACAATAATTCCGTTTTTACACGGAACGCGTGATTTTTCTTTTCCCCTGTAAGAGGATATTTCTTTAACAGTTTGCAAAATAGTTTAAACACTTAATGGAATGTTATCATTATAATTTAAAAACACTTAGAAAGAACTTTTAATTTATTAAGCAATTTTTTGAAAGAAAAAGATAGCTAAATACTTCAAATAAAATTTGATTATATATTGACCTAAACCTCATTTAAGGCAATAATAATTATATAATTATCAAGTTCAATTACTTAATCTTAATTTAGTTCTTATCACATTACATGCAATCACATCATGTCACTGGATAGAGCTCTACTGGTATAATGGTTAAGAGGATAGACAACTATTGATTTTCATAGCTTAACTATGGAATGATATTATACATGGTTTCCATCAACAGATAAGTAGAGAAGAAAGGAAATAATGAGTGAATTATCGAAGCCACTTACCATATCCATCAATGGGATCTTCTTATCCTTTCTAAAGTTTGCATTTTCAAGTATGTCGGATAAAGTGCTTTTGAACTAAAACTTGACATATGAAGATTATTGATTCAAACCATGGTCCACCAGATGAGTGAAATTTTTGACAAGTAATGGAGTGAGTATTGGCATTTTGAGTTATTCTTTATTCAATCAAGAAGATTACTTTTTTTTTTTAACCATCATCCAATTTAACAAAAATAATAGATTATATTGTATTTTATTTATCATCGGTAACTCAATTTCTTACTGATTAAATAGTGAAACTTATATATTTAATATAAGATGTTGTTGAATATAGAAGAAATAGAATTTGGAATTAATTTCCCTTGTGTATAAATCACACATAGTTTATTTATAGTAGAGAAATACAACTAAAAGAGTAACTGAAAGTAACAGAATAAACAGAAGATATTGTTTGATATTATGGTTAATATATAACAATATCTTAACAATATTAAATAATATCTAAACAATATCTAACACTCCCCCTCAAGCTGGAGCATACAAATCGTATATCTCAAGCTTGTTACAAATATAATCAATTCTAGGACCCCGTAAAGATTTAGTAAAAATATCTGCTAACTGATCACTTGAGTTAACAAACTCAGTCTTGATGTCTCCAGACATAATCTTTTCTCGAATGAAATGACAGTCAATCTCAATGTGTTTGGTCCTCTCATGAAAGACAGGATTAGAACTAATATGAAGAGCAGTCTGATTGTCACACACAAGTGACATTTGAGTGACATCTCCAAATTGTAACTCTCTAAGCAATAGTTTGAGCCAAACAAGTTCACAAGCAGCTGAGGTCATAGCTCTATATTCTGCTTCTGCACTAGATCTTGCCACAACACGTTGTTTCTTACTTTTACATGAGACCAAGTTACCACCAATGGAGACACAATATCCAGATATAGATCTTCTATCCGAAGGAGATCCTGCCCAATCAGCATCTGAGTAGCAAACAACTCTTGTATGGTTATTAGAATCATATAACAATCCTTTTCCAGGAGATCCTTTAATATACTTTAAGATACGAATGACTGCATTCCAATGATCTTCACATGGGGAATTAAGAAATTGGCTTACCACACTGACTGCAAAGGAAATGTCAGGACGAGTAATTGTAAGATAATTCAATTTTCCAATCAATCTTCTATACTGCTCAGGATCAGGTATAAGCTCCCCCTGATTTGGTAAAAGTTTAGTATTGGGATCCATAGGTGTATCAACAGACTTTGAATTCATCAACCCAGTTTCCTCTAAAATATTCATGGCATACTTCCTCTGAGATATAACAATACTATCATTGGACTGTGTCACCTCAATACCCAAGAAATATCTAAGTTTGCCAAGATCTTTGGTCTGAAAATGGTGACAGAGATGTTGTTTCAACTGAGAGATGTCATGGTTGTCACTACCTATAAGAACGATGTCATCAACATATACTATCAAGTAAACACATCTAGCACTTGAGTGTCGATAAAAGACAGAGTGATCTGCTTCACACCGAGTCATACCAAATTGTTGAACAACCTTGCTAAACTTTCCAAACCAGGCCCTAGGAGACTGTTTTAGGCCATATAGGGATTTGCGAAGACGACATACAAGAGAGGAAAGACATGTATAAAAAGGTAATGACAATCGATGATAACTCAAACCAATATAATGAGGAGAGAGATTACGTGTAGAACAGATACCTTTTTGGAGGGCAATGGGAAGGTCAGACTCAGGTGTCACATCCGGAGGAGACAAAGTAGTTGGCACTTGAGTAGAGTCACATGATGGTGGTTGTAATTGGTTTTGGCAACTATAAACCTAAAGAGGCAGTGAAGAAGAAGCTTACTGCGGAGTAGAATCTAATGGTGAAGAAGACACAGTTAGAGAGTCACAAACAACAGGAACATTAAATGTACTAGGAATGTTGACAAGATTGGATGGAGGCAGAGGTGAAGATTGACTTTTAAAATAAAAAGAGAACTCATCAAAGGTGACATCTGCAGACACAAGAGAAGGAGAAAAACATTTGTATCCTTTTTGTGATCTTGTAAACCCTAAGAAAACACATTTATGTGATCTAGGAGAAAGCTTGTCAAGACTAGAACTAAAATTATGAACAAAACATGTAGACCCGAAAACTTTTAGAGGTAAGGGATGAAGTGGTTCATGAGGGAATAAAATGGAATGAGGTATTTTATTATCTAGAACCGAACATGGCATGCGATTAACAAGATAACATGCAGTAAGAAGAGCATCACCCCAAAAATGCTGAGGAACCTCTCCATGAATTAAAAGAGTGCGAGTTGTTTTAATAAGATGTCTATTTTTACGTTCAGCTACACCATTTTGTTGAGGTGTATAAGCACAAGAAGTTTGATGCAAAATACCATGAGAAGCCATGAATTGTTTAAAAGAATGAGAAAGATATTCACGACCATTATCACTACGCAAAACTCTAATAGAAACACCGAACTGAGTTTGAATTTCATTGAAAAAAGTTTGAAAGATATGAAATAATTCAGAACGATTTTTCATCAAAAATAATCAAATGCATCTGGAATAATCATCAATGAAAGTAACAAAGTATTGAAAACATAAAGTAGACTTAACGCGGCTAGGTCCCCAAATGTCAGAGTGAACCACGGCAAAAGGGGACGAAGCACCACGTGTGACACTACGAGGAAAGGAAGTACGACTATGTTTGCCTAATTGACACGACTCACATGCCAAACTAGACAATTTAGATAAGGCAGGGACAAGTTGCTGTAACTTGGCAAGACTTGGATGACCTAACTGAACATGGAGAAGAGAGGGAGACTCTATAACTGCACCAACATGTGTAAAGGGACGAAGATGATAAAGACCATGAGACTCACATCCTGTGTCAATCACCTGTTTCAAACTCCGGTCCTGTAAACACACAGAATTGTTGATAAAAGAAACAACACAATCAAGAGAACGAGTTAGACGACTGATGGATAACAGGTTAAAAGGAGACCGAAGGACATAAAGAACATTATCAATGATTAAAGAAGGGAAAAGTTTAACAGTTCCAACACCATGAGATGATACTCTAGAGTCATCAGCTAGTGTAACAAAAGGTAAAGGATCAGGAGAGGATAAAGAGGAGAACAAAGAATTGGAAGTACTAAAAGGAGCGGAATAACTCATAAAGGGCGGAAGCGATAGTGACAGCGGCGTGAACCAGTACACCAGGTAAGTTCCCAAGAAAGAGAGGTGGGTCACTAATGGACACGCTTAAATACCAAGTTTTTCCTTGTCAGAATTTTCCTAGACATGCACTTTCACACTACCAAATAACCGACAGCGATAGTGGCGGCTTCAATAGTGCTGAAAGGCGAAAAAAAAATTCAAAATAACCTTAAGCTCTAGATACCATGTTGAATATAGAAGAAATAGAGTTTGGGATTAATCTCCCTTGTGTATAAAACACACATATGGTAGTCTATTTATAATAGAGAGATACAACTAAAAGAGTAACAAAATAAACAGAAGATATTGTTTGATATTATGGTTAATATATAATAATATCTTAACAATATTAAATAATATCTAAACAATATCTAAAAGATGTGATCAAAATTATATAACTATTCTTTAATTTATTTAATTACTATATTAATTAAATATATTTTTTAAATATTAAATTATTCTAGTATTTAAAAATATAATGATTTTAAAAAATTTATCAAAAAATTATTTTAGAATTAACAAATATTTTAAAAAAATATACAACCTAATTCAATTCGATTAAAGATAGGTTTGTTTGGATTAAATCTAAAAAATTTACAAAGACTTAACTCAATTAAATCCAATAATATTTTATTGATTGGGTAATGATTTAGTTAAATCTAACTTAAAACAAACTCGTGTACCTCCTGATTAACTTTTTGAAATATATATTTTTAAATTTTATCTAAATAATTATGAAGAAAATATTCAAAATATAAACCTTATTATGAATATGTGAAGATGTGAATAAAATTTGTAGAAGTTGTTTTTTACATTAATTATTTATCATTTGCAAAACATGAAAGTAGCGGCAATTAAACTTAGTTTACATATATATTTATAATTTTAATTTCCTAAATTTAATAATCATTAAATATATTTATAAATTTCATCTGTTATCTTTTTATATTCTTGTATTTTTATATATTTATTTATTATTTAATAATAAAATATTATTTAATTTGAAAGATTGTTGGTCAAAACAAAATCCTCCATGGAAGTAACTTCATCAACAATTATGAAGGTGCTCTTAAGGTAAAAGATAATATTGAAAAGCGGGCACATAATTTAATATGTGTGACCACCCCCACATTTAATGCCACTTCGTATGGTGCATAAATAACAAAACTATTCAAATATTAAGGACACCTAATGGGCTGGGCTCAACTGTCCAAGCCTTACCATTATGTAAATGGACTTGTTCTAATATATTCAATTAAAAATTTATATATTTAACAAAATAAGATAAATTAAAATTAAAATTTAAAACTCCATAATAAATAATTAAAGATATCACCATTTATTTACCAACGCGCTCGTCTATCCTCCTCAACTTCAAATTTTCCAAATTTTAAAACATCAGAACCCATCAATGTTAAATTTAATTAAAAGATTTAAAATGATAATAAAATGAAAAAATTCATCTTCTCTTTTGAAGTGTTTGAATATCAATACAAAAAATTAAAAAAAAAATATTCTTCCCTTTAAAAAACAATTATTATTTTACTCAATCCAACCTATACTTACCATCTGCAACGGATTTCAATCATATTTAAGCATCCTGCGCTTAAACAACGGTTATAATCAGCATTAACCAATATAATTTACTACATAAAATATTTGATAAAAGATTTATAAATAAGATCATTTTATTATTTTTATACGATATGATTCTCATTTAAAATTATTTTTTTTTTACTGATTTAAACATTAAAAATACTTTTCGGATGAACTTTCGTCTTTTTTTCATAATTCAACAAAATTTAATTTAATAGATTTCAAAATATCAGTCAATCAGATCAACTTTCTTATTCATTATTGTATATTTTTTATAATATATTTTTTATAAGAACAGTATAATAATATTAATTATTTATTTATTTCTTCTTCTATTTTTCTACACCAAAATAAGTGTACAGGGATTTTTATTTTTTTCTTTTGCCATTATTATAAAAATAAAAATGCATTTACACAAAAGCAATACCAAAAATATGGTAAATTGGTAACCAGTAACTGTAGAATTTGATCGACAAAAATAATAATCATCATAGACATAGCATTCGTTTTATCGAATCCTTTATAATATATATATATATATATATATATATATATATATATATATATATATATATATATATATATATATATATATATATATATTATGGATATTGGACCTGTGTTTAGTTTCTAGTTATCCTTTTTCATTTTTTAAAGCAAAAATATAAACTTTGAAAGGAAAAAAAAAGAGGTTTTTAATGAGATGGGTAAGGTATAGGCTTATGCTAACAAGAATTCTTGTTTTATTTAAAGAATTAGATTCTACCTGCAATGAGATATGTAGTGATTCTCCACTTTATGTATATGCCATGGCCACGTATAAAGAGAATACTTTCTTCCTCTATCAACTTTGGATCGTCCATTGCTACTCGTGTCTTTATTTATTAAGGGAAAAAGTTTCATAGGAATCAAATTATAGTTAACTCTTAGAAGGATAAAACATAAAATAAAAATACCGAATACTTTTATTTCTCTCTTTTTTTGTAAACATGGTAATTGATATTTAAAGTGATTAGTTTTTGTCAACAAATCAAACACTTTATGCAATGGTTAAAATAAAATTATTATGTTTAGAAAATTTAAAAAAGGAATAATCAAAGAGTAATAATTTAAAAATGTTTTTTTTTTCACTTCTTTATCTAGTAGTTCTTAATTGCATTATTCGACTTTCCTAAAAAAAAACGTATTATTTGACTTTACACATAAGAAAATGGTGAAATTCGATTAAGCGCACTTTACCATTCATATAATTTGCGGCATTTTTCTATTTAGAATTTGTTTTCTACAAAATTTTGGATAAAATAAAATAAAAATAAATAACATATATATATATATATATATAAGTTGATTTATATATATATATATATATATATATATATATAAATGAATTAATGCATGTATAAAAAATAATTTAAAAATATATAAAAGTCATGCATAATATAATTTTAATTTATCGAGAAAATTATTATATTTTTACTATAAGTTATTGTAGAAATGTTTGTTGAAAATAATTTTATATATCCTCAAGATTCCCATCATGCAAAAGATAAAAGTGAAATAAATGTGAGTAGAAATCGCATCATCTTTTGCCTCTAGTTTGTCTAAAGATATTTAGTAGATTCTTTTTTTTTTTTTCTTGGTCTAAAGGATCTATTAATGAAACAACATAATCCGTCATTAGTACAAAACCTTCTGGCCCATTAGTGCAAGGCGTCAGCCCACTATCCCACTATCAGCCCATTCTTTAACAATAATTTTGGTTTGCAAAATAAAATTAAATAATCGTCACTCTCATCTCATCTACACTTTGCAGCATAAAAGGGAGAGAAAAAAAAAAGTAATGAAAATGATTTTTTTTTTTTGGTTTTTTAAAGAGAAATAAAATTAAAATAAGCAAAAAAAAAAGTATAAAAGAAAAATGTCTTGTGCTTTCATAATCGTCACTTTTCGTCATCATCTTAAAATAAAAAAGAAAAAAGAAAATCTGAGTTACAAGTTGTTGAATGGAACACCGCAAAATAAATATTTAAAATAAAAAAGTAATTTTTGTGTAATAAGTTGTACCTTGATAAATAAATATAGCAATTTTTTTTCTTGTAAAAGATGGGCCTCGTAAATTCTTAACTTAATTTGAGAAAAGAGGTTTACAGATTGCCTAACTGAAAATGGAAGGTCACCACATGCGTTGGTTTTAATTAAGACTCAGACCTAACACATTACTATAATAATCAAAGACACAAAAACAATTCAATTTTCCTTTTAGCATTTTCTTTTACCATATTTAAGTTACTTATCCTTTATTTATAATTAGTTTATATGTTAGCTTTTTCATAAAAATAATATACGTTTTTGCATTTACTGTTTTTAGATGAACATGTTTTAACTTAAAAATATAATTTTTCCTTAGAATAATATCTAAGCAAATTAATATTTGCTGATTCAACTTCAATTTTTGTCTTTATAAAATACTTATTTCCTTAATTGAACTTTCAATATATTAATTTTTTGATAACTTTTTTTAATTTTCGTCACATATATCTTAAAAATAATTTAAAGATTAAAATAAAATATATATAAAATGAAACAAAAAGGCAAAAATCAAAACAAAAAGAAAAGTAAGGAAACGAAACTAAAATAACTATTTTCAAAAACAAAAAATGCATAACCCTTTGTGAACATGTTAAGCCAACTGAAAGAAAAGCATAGAAAAAACTTATAAGCCGTTTAATTGGGTTAAACCCCAACATCACATTAAGGCATTCTTCGTTTTTCCCCAAGAACATCACCGATTTCAATTTTACCCATGCCTAGCTACATAATTTGACATTTTAAAGAACATTTACAAAAAAAAGATTAAAAAACATGTCTGGGGTCAAGGCCTGTTTGTTTGTTTCGGTCTAAAAGAACAAACCAAAACAACAAATTCATAATCCTACCATAATAATTTCAAATCTAACCAACCACACCAACCACCTATGTTGTTATCTGTGGCGCCTAACTTCTTTTTACACCTTCCAATTTCTCCATTAGCTTAATAACTAATTAATTAATTAACTAATTAATTAATCTTTCCAAAAACCACCTCTTACATCGCCTGCAATGATTCCGACCGCCACAAAATATCGGCGCCAGGCTCAGCATGATCAAACAACCCATCTATCGTCACGTAACCGCCACCGTTATCATCCACATCATTGTACCCAACCAAACCAAAACCTTCGTAGCTCCCAATATCATCCTCAAACCCTAAAAATCCCGTCAGATCCACTCCCTCAGGTCCAACCCGACCCGATTCAACTGTCCCGGGTTTAAACTCCTCCTCGCACAGCGCCACCGTCGGCGGCAACCCAAGCTCGTCGTCGGATGCTTCCAGTAAGTAACCAAGGTTCGGTTTAAAGACCTCCGGCTCGGGTGGTAGGTTCGGGTTCGAAGCCGGAGCGAGTATTTCCTCTTCAAAACTCTTGATGAAAGAGTCAAGATCTTCTACCTCCACGCTGGAGCCACGCTCGGTGACATTCTCGGCATCGTTTAACATGCTGAGAAAGTCCGGGTCGACTCGGGCGAGTTCAAACTCGCCCGAGTCAACTCGGTGAGACTCGGAGGAGCTTCTCTCAACTCGGGGAAGTTTAAACGAGGTGGAGAGCGAGTCGGAGTCATCGTGTGCCCGTTTCCTCTTGTCGGTGTTGGTGGGTTTGGATTGGTCCATTTTTTGAAAGAGGGTTTTGTTTTGTGTTTGCGATGAGTGGAGAAGAGAGTGTAGAGAGAGAAAATGAAAATGTTTGGGTGGAGGGAGAAATAAAGGGTGAAGGGTATATATAGTGGTGAGAAAAGTGGAATAGCGAAGATTACTTTACTTTAATTCCATTCATTAACGCCAGATAGAGACAGGCGCGTGCGTAGCAGAAAAACCCGCATTCTGCTATCTTTTTCCTTTTTTCATTAAATTTATTTTATCATTTTAATAATTGAATAATAATTATATAAAAGAAAATTGTGAATTTTGCGTATGGTATCCGTTGGTCATTATTGCGAGGTAAGAAGAGGATATTTTTTTGTTTCATTTATGGCACTTTAACTATATTTGAATGTATTGTGAAGTCCGTGGTGCGGGCCCACCGACATCGGGGGAATCATGTGTTTGGTTTTTTTTTTTCAACTTTTTTTATTTCTTTTTTACTTTTGGGGGTTCGGAATTTTGGAGTGGTCACTGGTCTTGGGCTGCCCCACTCGTGGAGGAGCGCTGTTGTTGGATTCTGGGATTTTTTTTTTTTTTTCAATTTTATTATTTTTATAACAAAAAATAGAGTTAGTATTTTTTTAAAATTGACAAATTCTTGTTGATTTTTCAATCGGAAAGAAGTTTCTGAACCTTCAAACATACGCTGTTGATGTTGCTGATGCTGTTGGCGCCAATTGTCTGGTGTTCGTTCTAGTTGAGTCTCGTCGTGTTGGCGGGGTTTTCCTTTTGATTTTGTCTGTTTTTGACTTTCTTTTTTTATTTTATTTTCCTTTTGTTTGTTTATCTTCTCCCAAACAAACCTATGACCATATCCACAAGCTTTTATTATTATCTACTTCTTTTCCGCGACAATTATCAAAAGGTAAAGTGATATTTCACGAAAAGAATAATGCTACGTGAATTTTATTCGCGAGAAACCAAAAAGGTAATTGTTGAAGAATAAAAATTATTTTTTACGCAATAATTTTTATTCTTCCGACGATTGTTCAATACTTTTGCCCAAAAAGTCATATGCGTGGTGCCAATGGTTTCTTCCATGCAATTACCAAGAATCAGTCTACGGCAGTAATAATGAATTGGAAACGATATTTTTCTTTCTATTATTTTTCGTACTTTCGTTTTATTATCTATTTATTATACTCACATGTTGCGTTATTTGTCATATCTTTGTTTCCCCTAATTTTATTTATTTATTTTTATCTGTTTTTTGTTTTTGTCAAATATCTATCTAGCTTTCATTTGTTGTACACGTAGACGAGATATGTATTAAAATTGAAAATTGCATCTTCACCATGCAAACGGACACATATCTGACGACGTCTTTTCTGCTATACTTATCAACATCAACAGTGTCATAAAAATTAATTTTTAGTATCAAATATGTGTGAACCAAACATTATTGTAAGGGCGAATGTTGCCGAATTATGTCGGGATATACTACATATTTAAAATAAAAATAATACTTCGTCTTTAAATATATTAACGTAACATTTATTTTTATAATCGATATAATTAGAAGATAATAATATAATTTTAAACAAAGCTTTCTACTGAAAATTTATATATTTTGAAATTGAGAGAGGAGATTAATACATTAAAATCAATAAATAAAAGTCGATAAGTAAATAGTACCATACATATACAATTTTTTAAGGTTTATATTTAATATTTATTAATAATAAAAAATGAGTGATTCCAAAATAGCTGTTTACGAGGCCACTGTTCTTGTCCATTTGTCTTGTCCCTCTGACACTCATCACTTTGGGCCCTTCAATTTTAATAAAATAATCCTCCTACTAACTGTCCTAGGATCTGTTTGGATGTCATTCACTTTTCTACTTTTAAATATAAATACAAAATTGCCCTAATGATATTTTAGTTTTTCAAATGATATTTTTATCTAATCATTCCATAAATATTGATAAATATATATTGTTTAAATAATTGTTTTTATATTTATCTTTTATTTAAGTTAATCTCTAAAATTAAATATAATTATCAAATTATATTTTATTAATAATATTCATCAAGTAAATTATCTTCAACAATAATATATATACATACTTAGATAATCAACCATCCTACTCCTAAACTTCAAAAGCAAGCCATGCTTAGTTTCTCAAATCCAAGCCAAACATCCCACTGTTCACTCTCTTTTTTTTTCTTTTTCTTTTTTTTTACGTAAATTCTATAAGTGGTTTTATTATTGGTTTTTTTTTTAAATTCTAACTTTAGTTATAAAACTAATTTTTTCATTCCCTTTCCTTATTAATAATGTCGTTAAATATTATCGTTATTGAATTATGTCCTTAAGTATCGTTTATGTATAACTAAAGTATTTTTATTTTCTAATATCTTAAATTTCTTTTGTTAATCTAACATATTTTTTAACAATAATTTTTCTAAAATTTATATAAGAATTTCACACATCGTTACTAAAATCAAATACACTAACAAAATATAGACATGTAATTATATGTATAATGAATCTATATAAATTATATATCATTATAACCCATAATGTTTATTTATCAACATAAAATTTAATAGATAAATATATTAAAATATATTTAATTAAAACATATTTTCATTAATATCTATATTATTATTCACATGACTAAATGTAACAAAATCGGCCCACTATTTAAATTGGATTAACCAATTACTCGAAAACAATACCATGCGAATTTAATTTCAACAAAACTTTCCAAAACATACTCGGTACTGAATCCAAATATATCAGTAAACATTTATTAATGTATTTTACAGAATTGAATTTACATGAATCATTAACACGCAAAAATGTCCAAATATTTATTAAATATTAATTTATTATCATTTTGCTTTCTTGAAACATATACTAATATCATTAATTAAATATCCAGAATATAAAAAGAAAAAACTATCGATTTTATTCTTTTTTTTAATACAAATTCAATTATAAATAAAAATTCATATATTTTACAGTTCAATGCAAATAATATATTTAAATTTAACAGTATTATTCCTTAAAAAAATTTAGAATTATCTCACAACTTAACTTAAAAATTAAATAAGTAAAATATATAAATACTTAACATATATAAATATCTCTAATATAGATATATAGTCATAATATAAATTTCTATGATTTGTTAAATATAGTATCTTTTTTTTAATTATAGATATTTTTCAATTTTTATTATTTAATACTTTTTTTCTACGTGAGTTTATAATATATTCTTAAAAATTCAAATTTAATATATATAATATTTTATAATTTAAAAAAAGGATATACAATAATATTTCTTACACTATAAAAAATGATTTTTTTATTTCATTTTTTATTAACTATAATTTTCTTTATAAATATATTTTCTTTAACTAATTCTGATTTTTCTAAATTCCTTATTTTTCACAAGAGTCAATCTTAAATTGAGGATTCCGAATGTTGATATAAATATAAATATATTAAAGATTGAAAAATCATAAGCAATCCATATTAAAAAATATTATACAAATTAATTTAATAGTATAATAATAATATTAATTAAACGATCTTATACTATAAAAATAATTTAAATATTTATTATTATTATATGAAGTTATTGAATGATTATTTATAATTGTAGGTTGTGAAATTATTTTTTCATTAGATAAGATCATTCAAAGAATTATATATATATATTTATATATAACACTTGAAAGATTATTGAAACTGCTTCTAACTACTATTGTTATTATTTATTTTTATTTAAGAAAAACTAAATTAATCCCCTCTCTCTTAATATTAACCTTATACCAAAACTAAGGAAAGAACATTTTTGTCATGGATTCTATTCTCTTTCTCTGAGCATGATTATTTTAATTTTTTATTTAAAAAGTAACTCGTATGTCATTATTACTATTATTTTATTTTTAAGTGACAATATTAAAAGTCTGAAAGATATAAGTATCTTTTAATAGTTATCACCGTATTAAAAATTTAAGAATTTTAGTTATAAAATTAAGAAATATGGGTGTTTAGTTTAAAATTAGAGAAATTAAATAAAAAAAGATAAATATAATTTCTCTAAACAAATTATATAAAAAGTGACAGAACCAGGAAAAAAGTAGGCAGAAGAAGTTGATGATTTATGGGTGTGAAAAAGTCTAATATTATGGGAACATTATTTAATTATGAAATTAAAAGAAAGAAGAATATTCAGTAATTACTATTTAATTTAATAAAGGAAATGTAAAATTGGTGGTGGTGGGGACCACTGTTGCATGAAGAGTAGGAGAGTATCATGAAAGATAACGTTAATTAAGCGGTTGTTGGTTCGTGTGAGTGTGAACGTGACACGTGCGATGAGGTGTCCGATGTTGACCACTCACATGCGACTTCGATAATTGACGTTGTTGGGTAAAGCAAAACCATCCATCATCACAGCATGTGCAATTACTCATCTGCCCTTTCATGGCACTTTAAATTTCCACCCACTCCTTCCATCACCAACTCCCCGTTTTAAATATGTAAATTGCAAATATTGTAGAGGAATTAAAACAGCCTTAATTCGTTTAAAGATTCACTAAAAGATTACGTAAATAACTTTTGAGACTTATATTATGATTTATATAGAATTATACTAGATTAATCCATACATTTATGGTTTTACATATTTTGTAAAATAATAATTATTTTTAAAATAAAATATTTTATTAAAAAATATATTCATATATATATATATATATATATATATATGTATTTAATTTTAACATGAATGAATATTCTCTGTAATTTATATATTAAATTATTAAATTAAAAAGTATTTTTATTAACATAATTGAAATTTTAAAAATATATTTTTTTATTTATTTTTTAATTTGTTAATAAATATTGAATTATTCTATTAATCCGTTGATTTAATGTAAGAATAATTTAGATTAAAAACCATGATTTATTTTAAAATATATATTAAATTACATCATTTTTTTTATTCAACCCA